CCCCAATGGGGCAATGACACCGGGTATTGGGTATATGGTATTGTAATTGGCAGCTCTGATAACTTGTTCCAGTGCTTACCTGACCCAACTAAACTTAACCAACTAAAAAAAACCGCAAACGCAAAACAATAATGTCCCAGTTGGAAAATGCCCTCCTTGGAAATTGGTTTTTTTTTTTTCACCCAGATGCTGATAAGATGCTGCCTGGTATTTAGCTATAGTCTATATAGCCTACTATACTATATGGCAATTCGTCACCAGTAAACTCAACAATTGCATTTGTTCTTAATGCCAGCCATGGAACAATGCTTTTGTTGTGATTGAATCCGACAGTACGCGCCAGATTGGCTGGAATCTGTAGCTGAAGTTTTATATAAAAAATAAAGCTCTATCTCTTAATATTTAGATCTAAAAAAAATCCAAAGGATAAGAAAGATACACTTTCTAGAAACCTTATTAAAGCTCTTATTTGTTTATTTAGGTTTTGAAATATTTTCCCACAAGAGAACATTTCCAAAAATGAATATTTATTTTGAATGTAAAACAAAATCGATTAATTAGAAATTTCCTAATTGTTTTCGTGGATTAAACAGAAGCAAGAACAGCGACGACGTTTCCATTTGTTAATTCTCTGCATGGGACAATGCTATTGTTTCGATTGCCTCCGTTCCGATCTGTACCGCTGATGGGATCGGATTGGATTGGATGGGATCGGGGAATCAATAGCACAGATGTGCATACGACACAACATTAACGATTGCATTTTCGTTTCCACTCAATTGTGCTGTTTTATTGTTTGCCCGCTGTACCTTGATCTTTTCGCAAATCCGTATTTAATTGTCTTTTTTTTTGCAGCAATGCGAAATGTGGAGTAAACTGCGTGCTATATTTCGCTTATGTAAACGCTACAGTTAATTAAGACTGTGGTCAGATAATCCAGAAATCCAGAGACTGACATGCCTTAGTTCGCATTAGTAGGAGGGGATGCTAAGTGTTCGATTAATAAAAAAAACAGTTAAAGCTTATGATTGATTTAATTACTTGAACTATTATTTAAGACAAAGGTTGATTGGTCTATTAGTTTTAAGATCAAAGTGCGAGGCAAGCTGCATTAAAACCAGTTTCCTAATGGACTAAACGAAAGTAGCCATCCGCCAGATACATATTGCACATACAACATTCAAAGACATAGTCACGCACAAGCTACATGTGTACTTTCATTGCATAATCCCTCAAATCAATCATAGGATGACTAAGTATGTTAGTCAACATAAAAAAGTGCAAGTTTTCAAGCAGGTTTTGGACGAAAAAGAAATATTTTCCAGCTTTACCAAACTTTTAAAACATAACATGGTCTATATATCATTTTTTAATTTCATATTTTATTTTATAGTTGACAGGATACCGCTACTATGGCGACTACGAGGGAGCAGTTTCTATTCGGCAATGAGTCCGGCGTCGCTGGACTCGGCCTGGGCATCGAGATCGGAGAAGCGCCCAACAGCCGCGTCTACAATGCCACCACAGAGCCCGTGAGCAGTGCTGGTGGTCGACGTAATGGCCAACCAAGTACAACGACCACTGTCACGCCCACATCCGCCCCTACGCCACCCCAGGCGTGGTACAGCAACGGGTCCACTGCCAGCAATCAGCCGCCGCTGGAACCTGTCGAGGAGGAGGAGGTGCACTTCGATACAGATGCTCTGAATAACCTGCCTGCTCGCGAGCCCGTCGACATGGAGTTCAAGGAGTTGTCCTTGACTGTGAACTTGGGTTTCAAACGAGGTGAGGGGGGAATAAATAATGAAAAATACATAAAATCGAAGGCGATATTTATGAACTAATACGATCGTATGATCTAAGATATGGCTCGATAAGATTGCCAGTGGACTTTCAGTAATTGTATAATATATTTTACGATCTGCGGCTTCTTTTTGGCCACCATTTCAAAAGCTTCCTGTATTCTATATGGTATATCTTTTATTTCCAAAGGATTATCCTTCTATGATTATTGATTTTCTTTGAATATCTAAAATAGTAGTTTAGTTAAAACATTTTCAGTTCTTGAACTTACCCTCAAGGTTAATATATTTTCGGCAAAGCTTCACATACCAATCAGCCATAAACACTTGCTTGTTAGTTAACCAACTCGCTTCTCCATTGATTAGATAAGCGTCATATACACCGATCACACCTCCTTCCCGGTTGTATATTTTCCGGCAGTGCGTGCTAATCAGGAGGGCACCAGTTAGTCATTCATAAATTCCCTTTTTGCAGAGGTTCCACAAGCAATAGCCAAGTCATTTTCCTATCTTGAATAGAGTATTGGCATTTCGATATAATGGCTCTTGGTTTTTACAAGGCTTTCTGGCCAATATCAAAGTTCAGGAGGAAACAAGCAGTCGTTTGGTATCTGAACAGCTTGCCCCTGGTAACTTGATTAGGGCCCAGGCCGATGACCACACAACTCTCTTCCCCATGGCGGTAATTATACTAAATATAAAGATATGGGTAATATGGGTGGTCAATCGTGCCATTTTTATCAAATTTTGCGACGCTAGTAGGTGCGTTTAACTTGTTTGAGTAAATACTTTTCTTACTATTTTCAAACTAGATACCTATTATGAAAGATTTATCTTTAATCAGATTCAGCTGTCTATAATGCTAATAACTTGTTGAATGATTGTGTCATTATTTCCCAATCAATTACACAAGTATATAGACTTCATTTTCTTACTATGAATTATAACTGGCAATTAGGCTGACCTGTAAAAATCACATACATTTAAGATTTAACTTGATTTCCATTAATTTTATGTTTCAGGATCCAAAGAAATTTTGCACAATGTGTGCGGAAAGTTCCCCGGCAGCCAGCTCATTGCCATCATGGGACCCTCTGGTGCCGGAAAGTCTACACTATTGGATGCCCTTTCTGGTTTCAAAACAACCGGTGTGGATGGATCTATTTTGCTCAACGGAAGGCGAAGAGATCTGCGTAAGTTTCTAAAGCTTACGGTCACTTTCGAGAGATTAACAAAGTATTTACCTTGCAGCTTCCTTCCGCCGCATGTCCTGCTATATCACACAGGACGATCGCCTCCAGCCCTTGCTGACTGTCAACGAGAATATGCACATAGCTGCTGATCTTAAGCTGGGAGACACCGTCAGCTACGAGGAGAAGGAGAGCAGGGTGAGTTACAAAGATTGTCCACAATTTTAAAAATAAAATAAACAAATATCTCCTTGCAGATTGAAGATATTCTTCTGCTCTTGGGTCTCTACAACCATGATCAAACCCTAACAGTCCGCCTGTCCGGTGGTCAAAAGAAAAGACTTTCCATTGCCATGGAATTGATCAACAATCCAACTGTGATGTTCCTCGATGAGCCTACAACGTAAGTATCTTTATTAATAATTGCTAAGCTGTTTCTTATTCAAATATTTATATTTTAGTGGCTTGGACAGTAGCTCGTGCACCAAGGTCCTGGAGCTTCTGAAGAGACTGACAAGCCAGGGACGCACCATTATCTGCACCATTCACCAGCCCACAGCCAAGCTGTTCCAGATCTTCGACCAGGTCTATGTCCTCTCGGCTGGTAACTGCGTCTACCAGGGCAGCACCCAGAAACTTGTACCATTCCTGCAGTCCGTGGAACTGCCATGTCCCATGTACCACAATCCAGCGGATTACAGTGAGTCTCGAAGGGATAAATAGTTTAACTAAAAATCTATTGAAATGTTTCCTTTCACAGTCATTGAACTTGCCTGTGGGGAATACGGTTTCGACAAGATCGATACCCTTAAGAGTGCCACTGAGAACGGAAGCTGCCTTACCTGGTTCAATAATCCCAGTAGTGTGCTGCGGGCTGAGACGCTCATGCGAAAGTTTCCAATTCCCAAGAAAAGCAAAACCCGATCCTTGGAAGACACTAGCTACACGAACCAGTGCTCTGTACTGTTACGACGAGGATACATTAAAGCGAAAAGGGATACGACCATGACTCACTTGAGAATCGGAGTCAACATTGCCGTGGCGGCTCTTTTCGGTGCCATGTACGATCACACAGGGCGGGAGGGATCTCGTGTCCTAGACAACTACAATCTGCTATTTGCCATTTTGATGCACCACTCCATGACGACGATGATGTTAACGGTTTTGACTTGTAAGAATCGAAATTACCTTCTAAATCTAAATCAGTAACTAAAAGTAGTTAATCTTGACTAGTCCCCATTGAGCTGTCTATTCTGATCAAGGAACACTTCAATCGCTGGTACTCCCTTAAAGCCTACTACACCGCCATGACTCTGGTAGATCTCCCCGTTTCGGTATGTAACCATTCATTGTGACTGCAATCTCGAAATTATTGGAATCTCCTCTATATCCACCGTAGATCTTAAGTTGTTTCCTCTTCACTGTCATCGTCTACTTATGGAGCTATCAGCCGATGGAGTGGGTCCGCTTTTGGATGTTCTTCGTCATAAGTTTAATGACAGTGTTTGTGGGACAAAGCTTTGGTCTGATGATCGGTGCCTGGTTTGACGTGACCAATGGAACCTTCCTGGCGCCTGTCCTCACCATTCCCATGATGATGTTCGCCGGTTTTGGTGTCACATTGCGGGATCTGCCAAGCTACTTAAAATGGGGCAGTCACATATCATATTTAAGATATGGTTTGGAAGGATTCATAGCAGCGATCTACGGATTGGATCGAGGAACCCTTGCTTGCGACGAAGCACTCTACTGCCATTACAGGTAAGTTCTTTGTTTTGCTCTTGAGATTCTAGACATTAATGTGTAATTCCTTATACAGATACCCAAAGAAATTCCTGGAGGAGATTACCATGAGAGGAGATCAGTTCTGGAACGACGTCATCGCACTGACCCTGATGATTGTTATTTTCAGGCTAGCATCCTATATGATACTCAAGGCCAAGATTAAGTCTATTCGATGATTCCGATGAGGAATAAAAACCCACAATTCCATTCCTTGTATTATAAATTACTTGTTGAACATTATGTTTAGTGCTATTAATATTTAAAAATAATATTATGTACAAGTACACAAAACATTGTTAAATAAAGCTACGATTTTTTGTAACTACCCTAGAAAGCACCCACTTTTTATCACAGGAATCAGTTGCTCACACCTTGAACAATTTTGGAGTCGTCGTCCGCTGCCGCTGCTTCTGCCACTGGGTTCAGTAGCTGTTGCAGTTCTTTGGCATTAGTGGCCATTTCTGTAGAGTTAAGCTGAAATGAAATACATTATATTAGTTTTAAAATAAATGCCGAGAAATGAAGAAAACTTACCACCACTACCTTATGTCCCAGCGATTCCAGGAGCCTTTTCTTCAGACGCAATAACGATGTTGGCTTCTTACTGAATTTCAGTGTTTGATTCTCGGTGAGAAGTTCAACAAAATACACAGTGGCCTGATCTCCCATCGTTTGAACTCGCAAACTTGGCAGATTAATGCCGCTGATGGGACAGACCAAATCCACACCCTCTACTTCAGAATCTTGACCCAGGTCCAGGGCATACTTCCTTAAGTCTGTGCGTTCCCTTAGTAGATAAGTCGGTGCTCGCTCGAATTCCTTGAAGGCTTTTTCTGTTTTGTGACTCGCTATTGATGGTTGCTCGATGGCAACAGCAGACCGCAGGACAGTCAAACGGCTGTCCACTTTGGGTTGGGCTCGTGTCTGGCGTTGGGCAGCCTTCAGTTTTTCAGCTGCATCGATCAGATCTTTGGAGTAGTGTCCCAAAGTGCACAGGGAAAGGCAGGTGTCCACCAGATTGTCTGGGAAGTAGTCGTACTCCCCGTGATCGAGTTTTCGGAGGGCGGCCAGCTCAACTTGCCGGATATGTTGCGGCGATAATTCACAATCTAGTTGGGCGCTGGCCCACAAAAATGTGGCCAAATCCTTGGCTCGCAGTTGGCCCGGCTTAAGTTCGTTCATCAGCTTTTCAATCAGGACATTAAGGCACTCCTTTTGGTCCCAAAGCTGCTCAGCAAAGAACGAAAATATGTGGGCCAAGCCGCGCGGTTCAATCAGAGCAAGCTTGTTAGGATCCAAGCAAATATCCTGCAGATAAAGGCATACACGTTCGTCCATTACTCGTTGCAGCCTTAAGGCCTTCACAAAGGAGATCAGAAGGGCACCATTTTCTTCAGTAAGCTCCAAATTTAAAACGGCATCGACCAGTGCTGATTCATACGGCTTTCTGGCTTCGCCAGTGACCACAGTAGAAGTTTTGTAAGCGGCATTGCTGATCACAGCAAGATCCAGTTCACTCAAGGCGGCTAAGTGGCCCTGGAGCTGGTTTTCTAACAGCTCCTGGAAGTCACTTGTAAGATGCGCCTGCTTTTTTTGCAGCCCTAGATAAAAGCACACTTGAACGAATCGTTCCTTGTTGTCGCTGTAGTTCTCCTTGGCCAAACGCTGAACGGCTGCCTGAAAGAAGTCCATCCGCTTCATCCACCCGGGCATAAGGAAGAGGAATGAGTATAGCGTTTCCAGCACAGTGTTGGTGTCCATTTTCTTCAACTGACTTTCAGCCCGAGCATCCAAAGCATTCAGAGCGGCCACATACATGGGTACAGCGGCGTTGGACTTATAGCTGGAGGCCAGAATGATCAGGGCGGGCAGTTGTGAGGCATCGGTTTGTTGAACAGATCGATGGAAGTGGTGATCGTCTGTGATGGGGAAGAAGTCGGCGTAGCGGACTGTCGTTTTGGGTAGCACGTGTTCCCGATCCCTGTGCCGCTCCAGAGCAATGTGCTTGGCGAACCGAGTGAACAAGGTGCCGGTCTCATCCGAGGTGTTTCGCAAGACATCTCTAGGCGTCAGGGATGCGTAGCTTCTTAAAGGGCTAATACTGGTGGGGGCCCCCGCCAAGCGTCGGAGGAAGGCGTACATACTGAATGTACGTTTGATGATGTATTTATGTAATGAAATTACAAAAACGTGCCCACCAACTAAGAAACATTTAACAACTAAAATAGTGTTTATCAACACTTCCTTGGGAAAAATAAAATCATCATACCTTTATTTAATTTGTTATGACTATCTATATGATAAATAAAAGAAGCAAAGAAATTAAATCAAGAAGAGAATCTCACAGCTTTTTGCCAACAAAATTTATAATTTCCGCCATATAAAATATTTGAAATAGGAAACTCTGATAAGTTTAAAATTTGACAGCACTGGAGTCTGGTGGGACAAAATAAGAAACCAAAACATGAAGAAAGCAGCCGGATTTGTTATTTTCAGGCGTCTTTGTGGGGAAATACAGTATCTATTGCTGAAAGCGTCCTACGGAGACTTTCACTGGAGCTCTCCCAAAGGTCACGTGGATCCAGGCGAGGACGATTACACGACCGCCCTACGGGAAACCAAAGAAGAAGCCGGGTAAGTGTCATGCCGTGCTTACACTCAGTTTTATAATTATATAAAAAATAGATACGATGAAAAGGATTTGATTATCTACAAGGACACACCGCTAACACTAAACTATGAGGTGAAGGGCAAACCCAAAATTGTGATCTACTGGCTAGCTGAGCTTAGAAATCCTTGCCAGGAACCTATTTTGTCAGAGGAGCACACCGCGCTGAAGTGGCTAGCTAAAGAAGAGGCCAAGAAGTTAGTTGGATTCCAGGACAATCAAGTTATGATTGACAAGTTCCACGACATGATCGTGCAGCAAAAACAACCGGAGTGAAATCAAAACATGTAAACATTCAATTAGTGCTGTAACGCCTTATGCAACACTAAAGATAAGAAATAAATACTGAATAAAATACCAAACTAAATACCAAGCTTATGTCAGGGCATAGGAATGCGCTTCACAGCACTGTTTTCAATGCTGTGAAAAAGCGTACAAATTGTATCGACAATTCATTGATTTGTTGGGCAAACGAAAGCGAGCGCTATAAAGTTAATAGATTTAAGGCGATACAACATGGGTTCCCATTCGCGCACTCCCAGTCCGTCAAGCAAACGGCGTCATCACAAAAGCAAGCACAAGAAACGCAGTAAGTCCCACAACCGGGAACGGGAGCACGACAGAGACAAGTCCTCGGAGGTAAACCACCATGGACGGCGTGACCGGGAACGGGACCGCGAGCGGGACAGGGACAGAGAGCGGGAGAGGGACAGACACCGCAGCGATCGCCACACAGAGCGCGACTACCGCCACTCGCCTGCAATGCTCAAGTCCCGGAAGCGCTCCACCTCGTCGAGCAGTGATAGTCAATACTCAGACCAAGAGACGCAGCGCAGCAGACACAAACGCAGTCGCTTCAAGAAACTGGACGAGGTAAGTGAAACGCTGATCTCCAGTGTATCAAAAACTAATGCTACTCATTGGGTGCAGCAAAACCAGCTACAGGTCGAGCGCCTGGCCGAGATGGAACGGCAGCGGCGGGCCAAGGAAGTCGAACAGAAGACAATCGAAGAGGAGGCCGCCAAACGCATTGAGATGCTGGTGAAAAAACGCGTAGAAGAGGAGCTGGAAAAGCGACGCGATGAGATTGAACAAGAAGTCAACCGACGCGTCGAGACAGCAAAGGCAGAGATGGAACGCGAAATGATGCTGGAGCTGGAGCGGCGACGCGAGCAGATACGCGAAGAAGAACGTCGGCGCGAGGTAGGTGCTCGTATTCAGATTCCGCTGGACGACTGCTGCTATCACTGTAACTGTCTGAAACCCCAACACAATGCCACATCTACCAAACACTCGAACAAACTCAAGACAGCAGTTAAAACAGTCGTCTCCACCAATCCACACGAAATCATTTCCGTGACGCTCTCAGCCGCGGCCCACTGGGTGCGGGTGCTAACTAGTAATGTGAAATATCTATGACCATCACCTCACCGGCATTCATCTATTAGGCAGTTTGCATAACTAACCGACAACCCAACAGTTCCATTCGGTCCATCGCTAACCAGACTCACATTTTCAGAGCCTCCACATGCACCCGGCCACCCAGTGAGCCTGCTGGCTCGGGAACGGCACGGTTGGTTTCGTCTCTTTCTTCTTGCCAATAATTTTGTAATTTTTATTTTTCCTACCACGAAAAGCCAAAATGACGACATTGCCAATGTGTCGCATGTGTCACAATTTTGAAGCCCATGACTTTTTGCATATTCTTAGCTTCATCTTTTGTTTGTATCTTTACCTCTACATAACATACAGTATCATTTTGATTTTGGTATTGGTTTTGTAACTCCTTGTTGTTGTTGCGCGTGCAAATTACGCTTCTGTAGGCAATGTAGCCAGGAGCTACTCCTGTCTCGTAACCGAAGTGAGTGTTGTATAGACCCGGCAAAGCACTCGCGGAGCAGCCGTGCCGGAAGTTGCGAAAGCCTGCAGTGAGGCACCTGGTCCATGGACGCCTTCTTCTCCGCCTCAAGACAGACAGAACGCAATCTTATCTGATTGGGGGTTAGTTAGGTGATAGTCGCGGTATAGGGTGGGTCTTCTGACGTGAGTTTAGTCTCAACCGAACGCGGCATGCAAACGAGAACCGAGCAAAGCTGAAAAGCCAGTATACGACGGGTGAGTTTCCGACGCCAGCGATGTGACAAGCCCTGAGAGAGCATCTGTAAGGATAACGTGTGATCGGCGAAAGGACGCCAATGAGGGAGAATCAGAGAAACCCAAAGAGACTCACCCCCCTCAGTGTTTAGCTGTGTAGAACTCTGAAAGATTGTAAATCCGGATTCGCATTGGACTCTTGACAGTACCGATTGTTTGCCCATTATTTGCGTTTGAGCTTTTTTTATTTTTTTCGATGCAAAAATATACTTACGTTTGGAATAGCGAATACACATCGAATACTACTTGTATTTAAACAAAATCAAAAATCTGCAAAAGAAAAATCTTAAAAATTAACACAAATTTAGCTATTGTACTGGAATAATGACCTATTTAAATAGTAAGTAGCAACAATTAAAAAAAAAATCAAATGAAGACCAAACATTTAGCAAATACTACTAGTACATTGTTTATGTTGTGTGTTCCTATATTATAATAAACTAAATGAAAAAAAAAAACAAAAACCTACTTTAAACATTCTTATTAGACACTTCTAAATGTTTTACTTTCTACCGAAATTTTCTTTGTAACTTATTTTTAAGCGTAAAACTAGATTTTAACTGCCTTTGCAGCCTCATCAAGAAAATAAACTGCAACCAAAATAGTGCGACCGACTGTGTCGCCCAGTTTGCATCGTTGATGTCAAGAAACTTTATTTATATCCTAGCACTAAGGTTCCGGCTAAGACATTGATTTGTGTTATTAATCGTTTACTTGTTTGGGTTTTATAGGAGGATGAAAAACAAAAACGGGAAGAGCTTGAAGAGATTCTGGCAGAAAATAATCGGAAAATCGAAGAAGCTCAGCGTAAATTGGTAAGTATAGCTATCATTATTTTATTACCAAGCTAATCCTTGTATTTTCTTATTTCAGGCCGAAGAGCGTTTGGCGATAATTGAAGAACAACGCCTCATGGACGAGGAGCGCCAACGTATGCGCAAGGAACAGGAGAAGAGAGTTAAGGAGGAGCAAAAGGTCATATTAGGAAAGAACAATTCCAGGCCGAAGTTGTCGTTCTCGCTGAAACCGGGAGCTTTATGAGCAGCGTAGGAATCTGGTTAAGGACGCTCTTTTTCTTGTTAACAGCTTTTGCTTTTTTTTGTACCTCATAGGCCCTTTGTTTGCGCCAAAGACTAGCCCCCTGATTTGCTTGTTGTCATTGTGTTCTTTTATTATTTTATTTTTTTTTGTTTAAGTACGGGCGGCAGTTTTAAGCGCAGACAAAGATTCAAGTTTTTTTCAAAATTGCCAATTTATGAAGATATACAGATCTATATAGTACAATATGATAGCGATTTACTTAACCTTTTCTACATAAACACTGTGAGAGACGAATGATTTTGTGTAGTGCGTCGATCTGTTGACACATCTGAGAAATTAATGAAAACCAAAAAAGAGAAGAAAACAAATCAGTGAAATACATAATATGTAATCTATTTTCAAATTTTGATATTTCATGGAAACATATAAGCAACTGAAATCGATAATAAAAGTATAGAAAGGCGAATGAAATGCGTTTATGATTTGGAATTGTACAAACTAGACACCACTGGCCATACTTCACTTTAGCATATTTGACACAATTGCCAAAACAAACTGGCGATCCTGCCACTCCCTTCCCGGCCTCGGCCCTCCTATCGGACACGATCTACGCGTGTACACTTGTCGCTAAGTAGACACAACTTATTATTTATAGAGACTACTTAAATTTATATGTCTAGTGGCTGATTGGGTTGGGCGAAGTTGGACAGCGAACGACAGGCGGCACGCCCGGCCGCCAGGAGGAGAGCTGCCCCAGCGGTGGGGCAGCAAACCATGCCGATCTGTTCAAGTGCGTGAGCAGGCGGCGTTGATGCCAAATTGGTCGCCGACCACTCCAACTGGAAATGTAATCTTGTTCTAATGAATGTGGTGCAAGATACGAATACGCATACGCATACGCACTCCGCCCGACTCCATTCTATTACTTCACATCGAATTTGGCAACGAGTTTGGTGCCTTTGTCGCTTTGATTTGTGTGTGCGGCGCATGCGTGAAAGGTACACCACTTGACCAGCCCCAGACCTCAAACACCGATGCAAATCCAGATCCAGATCCAGATCACTAACACACACACTGACAGTCTACGATCTTGGTCGGCACATGGGCGGATGTTGCAATTTGATTAATTAATTAAGTGGAAAATCGGTATAGCTCTTAGCTATACTTTTTGGATGGATCGGCGAATGTCAACGTGCAATTTGTTTGATGTGACGTCGATAAGTCTCCACCGAGTATAGCCATTCAATGTGTCAGCAACTTGTCTGGAAGTTTATTGGTTTTCTGGCTTCTGGTAGTGCTTCAACTTGAATTCCGATAATAAAGAGCATATCATTAAACAGAAAACATGTATTATCAATAATTATTAAAATCAATAATGAATATTTATCAATTGTTTTCTCCCCCAAAACTTTCACTTGACTTGACAAGAGCTTATCCATTGGCATGTTACATTGTTGGCCAATTTGGAGCAGGGTAAATGTTTTATTACCAGAGCACATTTGCCATAAAATAAAAAAAAAATTAAATAGAAATATAATAACGATTTTGCATTAGGTGGATTCCGGTTCGTTGGGTGATCAGTTTTTTTTTATCTTTTGGATTTTGGGAGTGTGTGGTGCGTGCTGGGTACTTGGAGTGTGGATAGGGGCTGGAGGCGAGGCCAGAGAGCTCATGGCTTTGACTATAAAAGTTGTGGCTACGACACTTGGAGACATAGTTCAGTTCAGGAGCCACAGCAGCCACCAACTAAGCAAATCCTCAAAGCCAAAATGTTTGCTGTAAGTTGAAAGGATAATAGCTTTAAAAAAAATTACTAACAGATGCCATTACAGCTCGTTTCTCTTTTCATCCTGGGTGTTGGAGCCGCCGCTGCCATCGAGCTGCCCCTGAGTCCCATCTACCATTCCCCGGCGGCAATTGTGAAGCCCCTGCTGAAGGCTGTTGAGGTGGAGGCTCCCGCCCACTACGACTTCGCCTACTCGGTGCACGACGAACACACCGGCGACATCAAGAGCCAGACGGAGTCCAGGAAGGGCGACCAGGTGCAGGGCCAGTACACGCTCATCGACGCCGATGGATACCTGCGCACCGTCGACTACACCTCGGATGCCCACAACGGCTTCAACGCTGTGGTCCGTCGCGATCCCCTCGGCCAGAAGGTGATCAAGGCCGCGCCCATTGCCAAGGTCCTGGCTCCAGTCGCCTACGCGGCTCCCAAGCTGCTGGCCGCCCCCGCCAAGCTGCCCCTGAGCCTTTACCACTAGGATAAGCTCTGGGAGTGAGCGTGAGAGAGATAGCCAACACTGACTTCATCGCATCGACGACGACCTATCCGCATCTGCATCCGTATCCGATCTATAGCCACCTGCCCAGGCACCTCATATCGTATCTACCTTTCAATTTATGTAACTCCTTTCCTGTTTTCTCATATCTAACCTAAGACTTTTCGGTCCTCGGTGATCGTAAGCGCCATATTCCTCCGAGACCTGAGGACCTCTATCTCATCCATATAATTGTATATGTAAATAGAAGGCAATAAATGCATTTTAGAAAACATATTTATGAGTTTGTATCATTTTTTAAAGAATAAAGCCTAGAAGAAAGCAAAAGTTAATACCTGTAAGCAGTGGCGGATTTAACAGGTGGGCAAAGGCGCGCTTGCCCACTGGGCCCCCCCGACGAAAGGCTTTCAGGGCCCCTCGTGCTGAAAGTTACACCTTCGATTTCTTTTCCACAAATCTGCACCAAAATCTGGGAAAAAAATATTTTTAAGATTTTTTGTCAAATTTTCTGGGCCACATATGACCCACTGCGTAGGCCATATCTTAGGAAATATTCATCCGATTCTTGAACGGAATACCGTAAACGATTTAAGGATCGATTCTTCATAAATCTGCATCAAAATCTGGGAACAAAATATTTTTAAGATATTTTGTCAAATTTTCTGGGCTGTCCCCTTCAAAATGTGCAAAATGCATGGGGAGCCCCATATGACCCACTGCGTAGGCCATATCTTAGGAAATATTCATCCGATTCTTGAGCGGAATACTTTAAACGATTTGTGGATCGATTCTCCATAAATCTACATCAAAATCTGGGAACAAAATATTTTTAAGATTTTTTGTCAAATTTTCTGGGCTGTCCCCTTCAAAATGTGCAAAATGCATGGGGAGCCCCGTATGACCCACTGCGAAGGCCATATCTTAGGAAATATTCATCCGATTCTTGAACGGAATACCGTAAACGATTTATGGATCGATTCTTCATAAATCTGCATCAAAATCTGGGAACAAAATATTTTTGAGATTATTTGTCAAATTTTCTGGGCTGTCCCCTTCAAAATGTGCAAAATGCATGGGGAGCCCCATATGACCCACTGCGTAGGCCATATCTTAGGAAATATTCATCCGATTCTTGAACGGAATACCGTAAACGATTTAAGGATCGATTCTTCATAAATCTGCATCAAAATCTGGGAACAAAATATTTTTAAGATATTTTGTCAAATTTTCTGGGCTGTCCCCTTCAAAATGTGCAAAATGCATGGGGAGCCCCATATGACCCACTGCGTAGGCCATATCTTAGAAAATATTCATCCGATTCTTGAGCGGAATACTTTAAACGATTTGTGGATCGATTCTCCATAAATCTGCATCAAAATCTGGGAACAAAATATTTTTTAGATTTTTTGTCAAATTTTCTGGGCTGTCCCCTTCAAAATGTGCAAAATGCATGGGGAGCCCCATATGACCCACTGCGTAGGCCATATCTTAGGAAATATTCATCCGATTCTTGAGCGGAATACTTTAAACGATTTGTGGATCGATTCTCCATAAATCTGCATCAAAATCTGGGAACAAAATATTTTTAAGATTTTTTGTCAAATTTTCTGGGCTGTCCCCTTCAAAATGTGCAAAATGCATGGGGAGCCCCGTATGACCCACTGCGAAGGCCATATCTTAGGAAATATTCATCCGATTCTTGAACGGAATACCGTAAACGATTTATGGATCGATTCTTCATAAATCTGCATCAAAATCTGGGAACAAAATATTTTTGAGATTATTTGTCAAATTTTCTGGGCTGTCCCCTTCAAAATGTGCAAAATGCATGGGGAGCCCCATATGACCCACTGCGTAGGCCATATCTTAGGAAATATTCATCCGATTCTTGAACGGAATACCGTAAACGATTTATGGATCGATTCTTCATAAATCTGCATCAAAATCTGGGAACAAAATATTTTTTAGATTTTTTGTCAAATTTTCTGGGCTGTCCCCTTCAAAATGTGCAAAATGCATGGGGAGCCCCATATGACCCACTACGTAGGCCATATCTTAGGAAATATTCATCCGATTCTTGAACGGAATACCGTAAACGATTTATGGATCGATTCTTCATAAATCTGCATCAAAATCTGGGAACAAAATATTTTTAAGATTTTTTGTCAAATTTTCTGGGCTGTCCCCTTCAAAATGTGCAGAATGCATGGGGAGCCCCATATGACCCACTGTGTAGGCCATATCTTAGGAAATATTCATCCGATTCTTGAATGGAATACCTTAAACGATTTGTGGATCGATTCTCCATAAATCTGCATCAAAATCTGGGAACAAAATATATTTTAGATTTTTTGTCAAATTTTCTGGGCTGTCCCCTTCAAAATGTGCAAAATGTGCCATATCTTAGAAAATATTCATCCGATTCTTGAACGGAATAATTTAAACGATTTGTGGATCGATTCTCCATAAATCTGCATCAAAATCTGGGAACAAAATATTTTTTAGATTTTTTGTCAAATTTTCTGGGCTGTCCCCTTCAAAATGTGCAAAATGCATGGGGAGCCCCGTATGACCCACTGCGAAGGCCATATCTTAGGAAATATTCATCCGATTCTTGAACGGTATACCGTAAACGATTTATGGATCGATTCTTCATAAATCTGCATCAAAATCTGGGAACAAAATATTTTTAAGATATTTTGTCAAATTTTCTGGGCTGTCCCCTTCAAAATGTGCAAAATGCATGGGGAGCCCCATATGACCCACTGCGTAGGCCATATCTTAGGAAATATTCATCCGATTCTTGAGCGGAATACTTTAAACGATTTGTGGATCGATTCTCCATAAATCTGCATCAAAATCTGGGAACAAAATATTTTTTAGATTTTTTGTCAAATTTTTTGGGCTGTCCCCTTCAAAATGTGCAAAATGCATGGGGAGCCCCATATGACCCACTGCGTAGGCCATATCTTAGGAAATATTCATCCGATTCTTGAACGGAATACCGTAAACGATTTATGGATCGATTCTTCATAAATCTGCATCAAAATCTGGGAACAAAATATTTTTTAGATTTTTTGTCAAATTTTCTGGGCTGTCCCCTTCAAAATGTGCAAAATGCATGGGGAGCCCCATATGACCCACTGCGTAGGCCATATCTTAGGAAATATTCATCCGATTCTTGAACGGAATACCGTAAACGATTTATGGATCGATTCTTCATAAATCTGCATCAAAATCTGGGAACAAAATATTTTTGAGATTATTTGTCAAATTTTCTGGGCTGTCCCCTTCAAAATGTGCAAAATGCATGGGGAGCCCCATATGACCCACTGCGTAGGCCATATCTTAGAAAATATTCATCCGATTCTTGAGCGGAATACTTTAAACGATTTGTGGATCGATTCTCCATAAATCTGCATCAAAATCTGGGTACAAAATATTTTTTAGATTTTTTGTCAAATTTTCTGGGCTGTCCCCTTCAAAATGTGCAAAATGCATGGGGAGCCCCATATGACCCACTGCGTAGGCCATATCTTAGGAAATATTCATCCGATTCTTGAACGGAATACCGTAAACGATTTATGGATCGATTCTTCATAAATCTGCATCAAAATCTGGGAACAAAATATTTTTGAGATTATTTGTCAAATTTTCTGGGCTGTACCCTTCAAAATACCCTTCAATGTACCCTGAAAAAATTGTGCCCACTGGGCCTTTTTCCTTAAATCCGCCACTGCCTGTAAGGACATCCTAATTAAAAATTAAAAGTCCAATACTTTATTTTCAGCTTTTATATTCTTTAATCAACAGCCTTCCAATTTATTTAAGAAATACATAATGTATGTTTGCTAATATTAAGAAATTCAATTCACGAATCAGCTGAGAGAGTCCTTTGAAGAGTCCATTTGTGAACTTAGAGGGAAATCGGTTCCCGACGAACCTGGGCATTAAATCCCAGCAATGGATCAGCAGTATAGTCGACAATCCGACGATGGCCATCGGGTTCGATCAGGGAATAGCGTCCGGTTACGTATTCGCCCCGTCGGTGCTCGAACTGATCCTTCACATCGCCTGTGTGACCATCGTGGACTGAGTAGTGGAACTCGTACTGGGCCGGACTGACGATAAGTTCGTCGGGATGGCCCGCGATGATCCCAGCCTGGACGCCCACATAGGCGCTCAGGAGCAGGCAGAATACGATGCTGAAATACTGGATCCAAAGTCAAAAGGTGGGTCATTCTCAAGCTCATCTTTAACTTACCAAAACACTCATGGCTAAGAGTTGGAGCTGTGCTGGAAGCAATGGAAGACAGTCGACTGATGACTAAGATCTTGTCCCAGCTCCCTTTTATATGTCGGTGCTTGGCCCATTGTCGCAGTGGCCAAGTTATGGAGCTGAAATCCTATACCTTATGCAACCCACTCCCGCTCCCATTCGTGCACTCCCGAATAGAGGGAAATGAAACCCGATCCCAGATATCGCAATCGATTCAAAACTCACTCGGATTATATTATCGTATAGTAGCTTAATGTACAACTTACTTTACACATTATTTTAGCTTAGTCGTATCACAGCAATAACATTATATCGAAACTAGACTAACTCTATGGGCCGAAACGATGATTCTATGGACTGATTTGGGATGTGGTAAGGGGTTCTGGTTCAGTTCAAAGACACCCAGGACAACATAGGCACATTTTCGTCACTCTCCTCGTTCTGTTTCAGGTACAACGGCAATTAGCGAGTCGATCTCCTTAGAACTTATTCTCCAAAAGTGATCCTGGGAATGGGATAATGTGATAAAGGGATTGAGTCGTCTGCCCCTGCTTCTTCCAAAGGGAAGGACACTATTCAATTGGATTTGTATTAGAGATTGTGTGAAACACCAATTGGAGCTACCAAAAAAACTACTTGAGGGTGCTCTCGACATCTACGCTTGCTGGGGACTACCCAAAACCAAGTTACCGTTCTCGGCCACCATCCAAGCCGTAAGCTTCTCGTCCTCTGTCTTGTTGGTCTCATCCCAGGGAAAACTGGATGCGGCGGCGGCTGCGGGTTTCTCCTTTTGTGTGTTCTGAGCTCTGAAAAAGGGTTTACGGGAGAAGTTTTTATGAATTTTAATGGCTAAGAGGTTCTATGAGGTAAGTCTGGCTTGGTTCTTCTTTAGCTTTAATCCAAGCAAGAAGTATCTCTTAAGATGATTTATTATTTACAGCTTTAACTAATGTGCCTTTATAATATACATTTTGGTACAATGATTCTATTAATTAGGATCTAATCAATAAAAAAATCAACAAATCTACAAGAAATCGTGAATACAGAGACAGGCAACTAAAAAGTGCTCTACTATAGATCAGAAAAAGTCCTTAGAACTCTTTCCTTAACGATGATGATATGATACAGATGTAAGAGAGTCTCAACAGCTACTCAAGTCTACAATATTTACAGAAATTCGTACTGGGAATGTTGTTTTTTACCTTATGGGCCAAAAGCGACATTCTTCATCATTTGAGGGGGAGGACGAGGAGGAGTTATCACTTGGGCGCCCACACAAAGTGTTCAATGTTCAATGACAAGCAAACGAAAACACACAACACGATGAAAGAGACAGGTGGTACAGGCACAGAAAGAGAGGGAGATACGAATAGAAAGAGACAGAGTACAATGTAGAGATAGGAGAGATAGATAGACAGGATGATGGGATGAGCATGAGCGCATGAGGGATGCAAAGAAGCACGGGTAGAGGTCAAGGTTCGAGGTCTACAGGGCATGCAGGCCAAGGTGGAAGTCCCACCATTCGCATCCACTTACAGCGAGTCCACATGGCTGCCGTTGTTCACCTCCAGGCTGCTCTGGGTGGCCTTCTTTCGTAATCCTGGCCTGATTACGAAACTGTCCCCGAATAGATCTCGCTCCCGGTCACGATCCCGATCTCGATCCCGTTCCCGGTGGCCACCAGTAGATGTCGCACCGCTCTTAGCCTGCTGCGTAGGGGGTACTGTGTGGGGATACTTCCCGTCGCTGTCCGAGTCCATGGAAAGCTGACCGAACAAGTCCTCCAGGAGTATATTGGCCTTGGCGTTGCGCTGTCGTTTGGCGGAGGTCTTCAGCTTGGAGCTGCGGGTGGGGAGACGGAGAGGCAATTGTGAGGGAAGCTACAGATGCACTTTAGTGCAGGGACACGGAAAGGTACAATGGTGCCAGGAGTGCTCACACCATAGGAAAAAGTCCCTATCCATTAAAGTTTTAATTGCTTTTGATTCTAAACAATATTGGTATCAATATCCTTACAAATCAAAGGCAATCCTCAAAAGGAAATCCTCCTGTACTTACCCCAATATGAGATCCAAGTCGTCAGACTTTATGGACGGCTGCTTGATTTCCTGAGCTGCCGCACGCGATCTCCCCGAGAGCCTCATCGGCGGAGCTCCGTTTTCCGGCTGAAGCTGCATCTGTACGGGTGGCTGACGGACAAGGATGCTCGCTGGAGCCTGACTGGCACTGACTTTGGAGAACACGTTGTACACCTTGGCCTCGGGGGCCAGAACCGAGGACCTGGCCACTGGCACATAGTATCCACCGTTGGGGACGCCCATCACGAGCTTGGCATTGTTCTTGGCATTCATGTTGGCCGCATCGTAGCCGAGGTGGCTGCCATTCACGTAGATGGCTCCGGCATTCCGGGATGACGTCGTGCTAAAGGATACGTTTGGATGGTGCACTGGGTGTGGATGCTGCTGGGTTCCCGATGGCAGCCCGAAAAGCTGTGATATGTTGCGGTTCAGGTATATGTCGTTGATAGATTCGCTGCCATTCTGGGCCTGTACCGGAACTCCATCGGTTGCGGCTCCACCCAAACTGGAGGAATCAGCCAACTCGTGGTTGGTCAGGAAACTGAGCTTGGGCTGGTACTTTCGCGGCACTCCCAGGTTCTTAGAGGCCGCCTTCCCATGATTTAAATTGTTGCTCTTTCCAAGATTCATGTTGCTGTTGTTGTTATTGACGTTGTTGTTGTTGGTCTGGTGGAGCAACTCGGTGACCGCTTGGAGCTTTTCCTGCACCGGAAGCACATTGTTCGAGACGTTGTTCTGCGACTGGTGGTGGTTGTGGTGGCCTCCCGCGACCGCCGCGTACTTGGAGTTGAGCCGCACGTTTGCCTTGGTGGCAGCGGTGGGCGAGATTCGCTTCAGGGCGTGGAAATACGGGTACTTGAGGCTCTGCTGGGCTGTCGGCCGCTTTTCGGGATCGTAGGCGAGCATATCCTCCAGAAGGTCGAGCCCGTTTTGGCTGCAGCGGCTGACGACGCTGCTGAGTGGCACTTTGATGCAGTCCGGATACCGGAAATGGATCATGGACGCCAGCCTATATCCGTCCGGCCAATCACTCTGAAACGGAAGACAATTTATACTATTACTTGGATCAAAATAGGTTTAAGGTCTAACCTTTTCGGGCGTGCCCAGTACGGAACAAATCTTAAAAAGCTGATCCACTTCACTGCTGCCCGGAAAGAGAGGTCGGAAGGTGTAGAGCTCGGCCATGATGCAGCCCATGGCCCAGAGGTCGATGGTGCTGCCGTAGTTTGTGGAATGCAAGAGCACTTCAGGTGCCCGATACCACCTAGTCGAGACGTAGTCCGTAAACGGTGGCCTGGATCGGATCTCCCTGGCTAGGCCGAAGTCGGCAATCTTGATTAAATCCGGACCGGAGCAGAGGAGATTCTCTGGCTTCAGATCACGGTGGAAGAAGCCATGGCGATGCATAAAAGCAAGGCCAGTTAAAACCTGAAAATGGCAATTAGTATTTTATTTTAATTATTGAAATTTAGTTTTCTTTAAATTATTACCTGAAACAATATACTCTTGAGCTCAGGTTCCGGCAGATGGGTGTCTCTATCTTTGATCATTTGGTAGAGGTTCTCCTTCATGTATTCGAACACAAAGTAAAGGGTATCATTCTCCCGGATCACCTCTTTCAGCTTGACAATGTTTGGATGCGATAGTTTCTTCAGGGACTTTATAAAAAGGAATTTTGTAAATAAAAGGTTTTTATTAAGCTTTTATTAAACTCACCTTGACCTCCCGCAGATTCATGGCCTCCTCCCAAGAGTAGTACTTGCGTTTCATGCGCTTTATGGCCACCTTTTCGCCGGTGTCCTTGCGCTGGCCCAGGACGACGGTGCCATAGGTACCGTCGCCCAGCTGGGTCAACGTTATGTAGCGATTCATTCTTAGACGGTGGACGGTGGCAGCTCTTCAGACATTCTCCGGATGCAACTGCTGAAGGAAATGTGGAAATGAAATACAAAAACAAAACTGGGTTACAACGACCCTCAAGTGCCTCATTAAAGGACCCTCAATAATTCAGGTCCCGCCCACGTGTGCAAACGTCAAATGAATCACAGTTGAATTAAATGACGAGGCATTAAACTTTGGATCGAATCGAACACAATCTCACTGTGTCATTCGTGTCTTTATTTTCGGGTACCATTCAAGTAAGTACCTTCAATCCAAATCAATATATCGATCAAGGGGCAGTCGTCTAAGAACTTGACCAAATTTATTTAACCCAAAAACGAATATCCCATCAGGGTCACAAATGGCCTGAAGTCGGTGGAAGGGTGATACTTTCGGGAATGATTTATGATTGAAGTCGGTTAGCACTCAAAGCTCTTTCTTTGGTAATTGGGGGTTCTTTCAGTAGATAGGATAACTAAAATTATTGTAATTAATTTGGAGATGATTTATAAGAAAGAACTACTAATTTAAATTATTTAATATACAGTAAAAAATTATTTGTACAAGGAACTATATTTATAAAGTTCCTTCCTTTGTACTGACTTAACAAAAAGCTAGACCTAAACCTAAAGAAAAATAAATATTATAAAATACCCAAATATTTTAAGACTTGAAACATTTAAACCTAAAGAGATGTCCTTTCAAATAATAATAGTATTCACTCAGACAAACTCTTGGCTTGTGAGGTATTCTTTTGGGATGGCAAAAGCCAAATGATTTCTTACTAAAAGTCCTACTAGGCAACATAATCAAACCAAACATAGGAAAATCATTAACATAATTTGAATTAAATTTCGTTGTTTGATTATTACCTAACAAAATTTCAACCCCTCCAGACAAGGGGTAGTTCGAATTTCTAACTAGGAAAGCGTAGTACAATATATCACTCTCATACTTTATGTTTAAATTATAATCCATAAAATCATTGAAAAACATGTTGTGACCTAATGATATTTTGTGGAAAAACTTGACAATTTTTATTGCCAGTGCTTTTATTTAAAATTCTACAAGATTGGTCCTAATAGCTTGGCATATTCAATGCGGTATCAAATATTTATATGACTCCTTGAGTTTTGTGATAATGCTAAGGATTTTGAATTTGGTCAATTTTTCCTTAGCGATGTCGTAATTGGTTTGTGGTCACTTGGCGAACTTAGTTTGGTGGTGATAATTTATTCATTGTATGCGAACCATTTCCACCTTTAATATATACACTTGGCTGTATAGTATGTATGATTGTTTTGGTTCGAATTTTCCGGAGGGGGCCGAAGAGTTTTTGTTTTTGGAGTATACGGGGCCACGTTGGTTGTGAATCCTGCGTCACAGCCTTGAACTGCTCACATTTGACTCACTTAAATGCTCGGCACGCACTTCCAGCACCCGATTAGCCGATTACTATATGCCACCATGTATATCCGATACGCGACTTTTCGCACCATGTACCAACAAATAAACAAACTCAAATGTTGGGGGTCACTTTATCGATTAAGAACGGGGGTTGTCACACAAAGTCCTCTCGGACTTTCTTCTATCTTCAGGAACTAGAGGATGCCCCAAAGCTCTTTTGTTACCGTCGTACCTTAATCGGAATTGCATTTGAATCCGGCGTCCTATAATTTAATGTGTTTGTAGGAATTAAGTGGGATTTATGATGACTCCCAAGGAGGGACGGATATCCTTCGCGGACAGGAGTTTATTTGATAAGCAAACACTAACAACTGCCAGACCCGATATCCACAACAACGCGACGACCCAAGCAACCGCAGGACTAACTAGACCGACCACCCTTCTCCAAAACACGGAAGAGAGAGCCGAACTGGTGTCCCGAAGCTGGTGCACCGGCTAGATGGGTCTCCGGCAGGTGAACCCGCTCCCGAAGTCCTCTTCGGGGGTGGAACGACTGCACTCCGACGGTAACTAGGCAGGGCCCGGTTGTTTGGGTTGTCCATGGCAACGATCCGATGAGTCCGTTTTCGAAGGACTTGGGGTCTAACCACAAATGTCCTGCGAGAGCCCATCGAAATGGACGAACCGGTCAGCAGTCAGCCAGCTGAGAGTGAGGCGGGAGTCGAGGAGCTGGAGGAGGAGGGGGAGCCGGCAAAGGACTTCCTCCAAGAGATCAACTGCCCAGAGCCGGGCATCATTGATCGGAAAATGATTGAAACGGCTTACCTCGAGGAGGGCCAGCGGGGAGAAGCCAAACGTCTCCACCAATTGGAACCAGTAGTCTACGAAAGAATACAAACCATGCGACTAGAGTTTAAAAGTAGGTGTTGCAGATCCTCCAAAAATTCTTTTTATATAGATGTCTATCTGTATCCTAGACATCCTCCGCATTGACCACCTCTGGATGATGCCGAACCTGACAACCCTCTGCCTAAACTGCAATAAAATCGAGGTCATCGAGCACATCGACATGCTAACAGCTCTCAAGGAGCTCAACCTAAGCTTCAACTACATCACTCGGATCGAGAACCTTGAGACCCTTGTGCACCTGGAGAAGTTGTCCCTGTTCAGCAATAGGATTCAGAAAATTGAAAATCTAAGTACTTTGGATAAGCTCGTAATCCTCAGCATTGGCAATAATCTTATCGACACTGTGGAAGGGGTCAGTAGACAGTATTTTATCTTCTATATCTTTTAGATCTTTAAAATCTTTATTTTTTATAAACAGATCGAACGCTTGCGTTTTGTCAGCAGTCTGAAGGTTCTCAACCTGGAGGGTAATCCCATAACTAGGATGCCAAACTTCCCCCTGTCCCTCTATGTAACAGCCATTCTTCCCCAGCTGAACTACTACGAATATGTTTTCATTAAGTCGGAGATCCGAGCAGAAGCTCAAAAACGTTTTTAGTAAGTAACATCCACCATAAAATATCATTAATGATCTCTCGATGACCTCCTACAGCCGGGAGATTCGAGAAATTGAGGACAGGCAGGAACGGGAGATCCAAGCACTTGAAACAGAGTCACGAGAGCGAGCTGAAGCAGACCGGCTAGCCTCCAGCTTCGTGGAGCATCTGGATGGCCAGCAGTTATACGAATCCTTTTGGCGCGACGATGAAAAAGGACGAATCCTGATGCTGATTGGAACGCCGGCTCAAGAACTGACAGAAGAGTATGCCAAGGATGTGTATGAACTGACCCAGCAGATTTATCGCCTGGGGTTGGCACGCTTTGGAGAACGTGACGAGGAGATCCGAGACTTCAATGATAATCTATACGAAGGTCAGCAAGAACTCCAGATGCAAGGTCAAGTACAAATCGAGGAGTTCCTCCAGTACAAGGAGAAAACTTTCGACGAAATGCGCTTGAAGTTGCGGGACTTGGACCAACGCGATGAGGACTTGGATGAAGTTGAAGCTCAATTGGACGATTTAAATGGAAAATTCGAGGATGCTCTGAACCAGATGTGGCAAAGTCTGATGGCCCAGGAGCTGCATCTTCATGAAGCAGTTGAGGTTTGTTGTCGACTTTTCTAAAATTTGTTACATACCTTGAGGCCACAAATACAAATCCGGATTTTTAAAGGATTAAAAAATTCGCAAAAATCTTTTAAGGCATGATTAGTGGCCACAAAAGAAAACCCGGACTTCTGCCGGAATGATTGAAAAAATCTAAAATTTTTATGTTTTAATATCTTTATTTATATCTTTATTTTTCGGCAGGAGTCAACTTTAAATTTTAACCGCAAAATTTCACAGCTCATGACTAGCTTTGTGGAGCAGGCCCAGGTATATTTTCGACAGCTCCGCGATGTTTGCAATCACTTTGCCGATAACATGACCGAGATCGTGACACAGTTTCTCTCGGCGAAGATGTCAACTAATGATCTGGACTCTATACCTGATGAACTGAAAAAATGCGTTGATGATCAGGAGGCGGCCCTTCATCTGGTTGAAGGAATGTTGGCAGCGCACACTATGCGGGTGGAGGAGCGGGAAGATCGCTTGGTTAATCGTAGCAGGGAGTTTATAGATGACATGATCCGTAAGCTCAACACGTGAGTAATATTGACGATCACTTAGCAAGGATGGAATCTAAAAGTCACTGCTTTTTTAGGAAAGAAGTTGATCGCCATCGGGCCAAGGTACTAGAGATCAATGCCTTCATGGAAATGATGAAGGAGGCATTGGCTAACATACCACAAGAGTTAGACCAAGAATTGCCCGAGGAATAATAAGTAATAAGTGTTTAATAAGTAAAATTTTAAGTAATAAATGCATTCTGATCACCTAATTTTGAAAGACCGTCTCATATCTTTTTTAAAGTCCCTCGAGGGACTTTCGTGCATTAGTTATTTAACCTGCTTATCATATAGAAAGTCAAGTTTCAAACCCAAGAAAAACAAGGTACTTAAGCCTACGCGATCAGCTGCTTTTACCTTTTCCATTCAAAGTTTACATGGTTATCGAATACGGTCTGATGACAATAAAAAAAATATTTTTTCAAAAACCTTTGTTTATTACCGTTTATTGGCCTTTTATTAATTACTTTTTGCTTTTATTTTTATCCAAATAATCACCCATAATCTTTTGAACTTCGGGTCGGGAAGCCAAAGATACAAAGTCGTCCACATCTTTCTGTCGATTCTTTTCAAATTCTTTAATATTGGCGGCACGGAACTGCATTTTGGTCAAGCTGCGGGCGACTGAGTTAACCTTGTCGAATGATTCAATGAAATTCTGACACTTTTCCAAAGCTTCATCTTTGGAGTTGACAATTTCATCGATCAAACCTTCCTTCAAGGCCTCCTCCGTGGTAAAAAGACGACCCTGGGTGAGCGCCCGCTCTGCTACACGTGGAGGCAGGATGTTCAGGTAGCCAAACACCAGCCATTCGGGAGCAATAATTCCAAGTTGGGTTTCGTTGAGTCCGATTACGCACTTTGGCAGCATAGCACGGTACTCACAGGCAACACCCAGAAGGCAGCCTCCAGCAGGAGCATGGCCCTAATACAAAAATGATATATTAAAAGCAAAAATAAATGTATATTTCCAAAATCTTACATTTATGGCAGCTGCTGTGGGTAAACTACTGCCGTATAAGGCGACCCAGACGTTTTGCAGCTCAGTCCAAAGGGTGGACAGTTTCTCCTTGTCCGCTTTGTACATTTCCGAGATATCCAGGCCAGCTGAAAACACTTTGGAACTCGCCTGCAAATAATTAACGATTTATTATGGTATCCGGAACAACTAGTTGAAACCATCGACCTACGGATGTTATGATGAGACCCTTGCTTTTGTTGTTCTCGATTTCGTCGATGGATGATTTTATGTCCCGCAACATTTGCGCATTTTGGCTATTAACTGGTGGCCGGCACAGGGTAAGTATAGCCACTCCCGTCTTATCGTTGATCTCGACAGAAGTAAACTTCGTGGACATCAGTCTACTTGGGAGTCTACGTGCTCCAAGTCTTAGGTGATTTAAATGCAACATTTTCCTATGAAGATTAAAAGTGGAATTTGGTCCAGAGCCGGTATTATCAATAATAGTATTATCAACTTACTTTGTTTATGTCTGATTCTATTAGCTTCCAGCGATCTTCAATGGAAAATGAACGAGTATATATATTTCATTGTTATCGGGTATCAGAGCGACGGTTAGTTATCGACTACATTTAAATAATCCGTCTAATAATAATTTTATGTCAACCATTCCTGAGGATTTTGGAAATTATAATTTAAATTTCGTTTTGGAAACGATATTGAAATAGTAGTTTGCTTTTATTAAAATTAATTATAAAATCGTTAAAATATTGCGTTTTTGACTTTATCTTTAGACCCTCAATATAAATGCCAAGTCCTATTAATAGCTGGCTTATTTATAAACCCCAAAAACTTAAAAAAAAAAAAAAAAAATCGACCGACAATTTAGTGGTTTTATTGCAGAATAATAAAAAATAAATAATTTATAAATAAGAAAAGAAGAAAATCAACTGGGGCGTTACAGCGTTAAATGAGCAAATTTTAAGTCTATTATTAAATTCAGTATTGAAAAAAAAAACAAAAATAAAAATAGGCTGCTGCCGTCCAGGTGAACTTCATGCCATATGCACCCAGATGCGTAGAACACTGTGGCCGGAGTGATGTCCCAGATCTATAGCACCGTCTCGACATCCTGGAGAGCATTACCGAACACATGCACAGGCTGCTGAAGGAGGTTCGAGATAATGCGCCGATCAACAATAATAAATAATAAATAATAAATAAATAATTTAAAAATAAGAATGAGGAAATATTAAGTGGTTTGTGGTGCGCATAGTGCTCCTTAAAAAGAAGACGGTAATCAAACAATGGCTGCTGAGGCCAGTCCTAAACATTGCGTTGGAGGTGATGCGTCCATCAACAATAATAAATAATAAAAAATAAATAATTTAAAAATAAAAATAAGAATAAGAATGAGCAAATATTAAGTGGTTTGTAGTGGTCCAAGTGATCCTCACAGAGGAGACGGTGATCAAACAAGGCTGCTGTCCTGAGTGTTGCGTTAGAGGCGATGCGCCCATCAACAATAATTAATAATAAAAAAATAAATAATTTAAAAATAAGAAAATAAGAATAGACTTTGGGACGTTGTTGAATTAAATGACCAAATATTAAGTCTATTATTCAATTCAATTAAAAAAAAAAAAGAAACGAAAATAAAAATAAGCTGCTGCCGTCAAGGTGAACTTCACTGTGGCCGGAGTGATGTCGCAGATCTATAGCACCGTCCAAGATTGCGAGATAAATGAGACAGATTGTGAGATAAATAAGAGAATATTAAGTAAATTATTCAATTCAACATTAAAATAAAAACGAAAATAAAAATAAAAAAAGCTGCTGCCGCCAAGGTGGAATTCAACCCTTATGTATGTTCCCAAGGTGATAGGTTCTTCAACAATAATAAATAAGAACAAATAATAAAAAATAAATAATTTAAAAATAAGAAAAGTAACTGGGGAGTACTAATCGACCGACGGAAGTAGCAGTCCGCTCTCCTCGGACTCCTCCTCTTTGAAAAAAAAAACGAAAAATACAAATAAAATATAATAACGAAAATAAAATCAGAAAAACACTTTTTGAGCCTTTACTTCGGTTTCTGGCCGCAAAAACCGACTTGTCACCAGAAATGAGACAATAAAAACAAAAATAAAATAATAAGAAAATAAGAGGTGAGTTTATTTGAGAACCTCCTACTGGAGGCCTCTAAGAAAACTGAATCGGAATGTGAAAATGCTCGCTTTTTATAGAAAACGGAGCCAACAGAAGTCATGGCTTTCTGGATTAGATAATCATTAATACCAAATTAGTATTACCAATGTTAATAAAACCAAAGGGTTCAAAGAGCGGGAGCTATTTAAAATTTGAATTAACCGCCACACCTTCACCTTTTCTTTGAAAAATTTTGTCACCGATTTCTAACATTATATTTTTTTTGTAATAGCAGGGTAATGTTTATTTAAAACTGTCCATTAGGGACAACCATTAAATTTTATCACGTAAACTTCACGTATAGATATTTTTATACCCTTGCAGAGGGTATTATAATTTTGTCCAAAAGTGTGCAACGCAGTGAAGGAGACATCTCCGACCCTATAAAGTATATATATTCTTGATCAGGATCACCTCCTGAGTTGATATGAGCATGTCCGTCTGTCCGTCTGTCCGTCTGTCCGTCTGTCTGTCTGTCTGTTTCTACGCGAACTAGTCTCTCAGTTTTAAAGCTATCGACTTGAAACTTTGCACACACCCTTCTTTCCTTTGCACGCAGTATATAAGTCGGAACGGCCCGGATCGGCCGACTATATCCTATAGCTGCCATATAACTGATTGATCGGAAATGGTATAACTTCGGTGTTTTTAGAGTTAGAGAGTTCAAATTTGATATGAGAGCTATTTTTGGCAAAATAATATGACATGCCAAATTTCATAAGGATCGGCCGACTATATCCTATAGCTGCCATATAACTGAACGATCGGAAATGACCCAACTTTCGTGTTTTTGAAGATAGAAAGCTGGAACTTAGTACAGATTTAATTCTTGGTCAGTTGATCCAACCTACCAAATTTCATTAGGATCGGCCGACTATATCCCATAGCTGCCATATAACTGAACGATCGGAAATGGTATTTGGTAGAAATATCAACTTTCGTATTTTTGAAGATAGAAGTTTGGGACTTTTTTTAGATTTTGTATTGTAATAAATTGGATTATATATTCCTATTCCCATAAGGATCGGCCAACTATATCCGATGTTTGCGATATATATCCGGTTTTAACTGCAAGGGTATATAAACTTCGGCTCCGCCCGAAGTTAGCTTTCCTTTCTTGTTAAATATTAATATGGTAGAAAAAAAAATTAGAGTAGTAAGGGGAGGTCCAGCGGGTGTGTCCTTTTAAGTCTTCTGGGTTGCTCGCTGCTGTCCAGCAGGGAGCTGGCCAACCGGTTCGGGTGATTACTTTCGGTGATGTTACTTTATACTCAAAAACTTATTATGATTTTCATAATTTAAAGTTGACATCCCACAAATCTTTTAAGGTATTCCGCTTAAGGATCGAATCCAAATTGGCTGAGATATACACATCATAAGTGGCCACAAATAAAAATCCTCATTTCTGCAAGGGGCTCCATCAGAAAAAATTGAAAAAAAACGACCGAAAATTTTATGGACAGGTTTTGATGTAGGATAATGAAGAATCATTCCACAAATATTTTAAGGTGTTCCGCTTGAGGATCGGTTCAAAATTGGCAGAGATATACACATCGTTAGTGGCCAAAAAAGAAAATCCTCATTTCTGCAAGGGGTTCCATCAGAAAAAATTGAAAAAAATCGACTGAAAATTTCATTGCAAGGTTTTAATGCAGAATAATGAAGCATCATCCCACCAATATTTTAAGGTATTCCGCTTGAGGATCAGTTCAAAATTAGCAGAGATATACACATCGTTAGTGGCCAAAAATGAAAATCCTCATTTCTGCAAGGGGTTCCATCAGAAAAAATTGAAAAAATCGACTGAAAATTTCATGGACAGGTTTTGATGTAGGATAATGAAGAATCATTCCACAAATATTTTAAGGTGTTCCGCTTGAGGATCGGTTCAAAATTGGCAGAGATATACACATCGTTAGTGGCCAAAAAAGAAAATCCTCATTTCTGCAAGGGGTTCCATCAGAAAAAATTGAAAAAAATCGACTGAAAATTTCATTGCAAGGTTTTAATGCAGAATAATGAAGAATCATTCCACAAATCTTTTAAGGTGTTCCGCTTGAGGATCGGATCCAAATTGGCGGAGATATACACATCATTAGTGGCCAAAAAAGAAAATCCTCATTTCTGCAAGGGGTTCCATCAGAAAAAATTGAAAAAAATCGACCGAAAATTTTATGGACAGGTTTTGATGTAGGATAATGAAGAATCATCCCACAAATCTTATAAGTCAGGTCTTTTAACATTAAGTATGGACCTGGTTAAGTATGGACCTGGTTTTGGGAAAGAAGTGGATCTATATTGGCCAACATACCACAAGAGTAAGACCATGAATTTCCCGCGGAATAACGTTTTAATAAGTATAATTTTAAGTAATAAATGCATTCTGATCACCTAACTTTGAAAGACCGTCTTATTTCTTGTTTTTAAGTCCCTCAAGGTGGGAGCAAAGTCCCTCCTGAAATAGGGGCGTGAGGACGTAGTCCACACAGTCCCGCAAATCGCCCGCCCGGTCGTTTAGTAGATCCCGCACGTCCGGCTCGCGGCACATGCGTTTAGTAAGGGTCCTAGCAACAGGATTCGCTTTGTCGAACGTGGCTATAAAGGCTGCACACTTATCCAGTGCCTCCTGCTTATTGCATGCCAGCTCATCGACCAGCCCAATATCCAGGGCCTCTTGGGTACGGAAGAGCTTGCCTTGGTTCAAGGCCCTCTCGACTACTCGTCGTGGAACTACGCTCTGGTACGAGAGCATCATCCACTTGGAAATGACGAAGCTAAAGCGGGTGGCATGGATGCCAATAAAGAGATTCGGAAGCATGGTGCGGTACTCGCAGGCTGTGGCCAATACGCAGCCTGCGGCCGGAGCATGTCCCTGAAAAGATAGGTTTCGAATTAGGGATCTAGGTTTTTCAAAATTCCAGGTCGTACATTGACAGCCGCCGCTGTGGGAATCCCACAAAGGTGCAGGGCCAGCCACAAGTCCTGGAACAAGGTCCAAAATTCTTCAAGTCGCTTTCTTTCTGGATTTAGCAGCTCTTTGAGATCTAGGCCAGCGGAGAAAACTTTATCATTGCTCTGAAAAATTTTTTAATTAAGTCAAACTATTTTGTCAAGTCGATTTTCATTTTACAAACCGATGTCAGGATCAGGCCGCGACTCTTATTGCACTCTATCTCGTTGATGGAATCGATCATATGGTGCATCAGCTCCATGGTCAGTGTGTTTACAGGCGGCAGGTTCATTGATAGGGTAGCGATTCCACTCTTGTCATCCACTTCCACAGTGGTCAGCTTTGATTGCTTCACACCGGAAAGCGATCGCAGAGCTTGCCTTTGGAAGATCGGTACCATCCGTCCTGCAGTATCTATTACCCTATTACGCAACATTGTGATGACTTTTGATTTGGAGCAGCAATCACGCACTGAGCGGCAGGCATGAATTTAAACAAATTAACCTGTTTATCATATAGAAAGTCAAGTTGCAAACCAAAGAAAAACAAAGTACTCAAGCCTACGCGATCAGCTGATCAGCTGTTTTTACCTTTTCCAGTCAACGTTTACACGGTTATCGAATAAGTCTGATAACAATAAAAATAAATATTATCAAAAATCCTTTGTTTATAAGCTTTTATTGGCCAAAACTACTTTTTGGGTTTATTTTTCTCCATAAAATCACCAATAACCTTCTGAACTTCGGGTCGGGAAGCCAACGATACAAACTCGTCCAAATCTTTCTGGCGGTTCTTTTCAAATGCTTTAATATTGGCCTCACGGAACTGCACCTTGGCCAAGCTACGGGCGGCGGGGTTAACCTTGTCGAATGATTTAATGAAATTCTCACACTTTTCCAAAGCTTCCTCTTTGGAGTTGACAATTTCATCGATCAAACCTTCCTTCAAGGCCTCATCCGTGGAATAAAGGCGACCCTGGGTGAGCGCCCGCTCTGCTACTCGTTGAGGTAGGACGTTCAGGTAGCCAGACACCAGCCATCTGGGAGCAATTAATCCGTATTGGGTCTCGTTGAGTCCGATTACGCAGTTTGGCACCATAGCTCGGTACTCACAGGCAATAGCCAGAGCGCAGCCTCCAGCAGGGGCATGGCCCTAACACAAAACTGATATATTAAAAACAAGGAAAAATTAATATTCTTAATACCTTACATTTATGGCAGCTGCTGTGGGTAAACTACTGCCGTATAAGGCAAGCCAGACGTTTTGCAGCTCAGTCCAAATGTTGCATATTTTTGCCTTGTCCGCTTTGTAAATTTCTAAGACATCCAGGCCAGCTGAAAATATTTTGTCACTCCCCTGCAAGTGATTAACGATTTATTATCCGGAGCGACTAGTTAAAGCCATCAACCTACGGAGGTTATGATAAGACCCTTGCTTTTATTGTTCTCGATTTCGTCGATGGATGATTTTATGTCCCGCAACATTTGCGCATTCGCGCTATTAACTGGAGGCCGGCACAGGGTAAGTATAGCCACTCCCGTCTTATCGTTGATCTCGACTGAAGTAAACTTAGTGGACATCAGTCTACTTGGGAATCTGCAAGCCCCAAGTCTTATGAGATTTAGATGTAACATATTTTTAAGAAGATCAAAAGCTAAATTTTGCCCCAGCGCCGGCTAAAAGGTGTGTTTTTTTTTTTGTGTTTGAAAGATAATGAAGAGAATATCTTTTTGAACATAAATGATCTTTAGTTCAAATGTTACTTTTCAGTATTTTAAGTAATAAAACAGAATTATTATAAAATTAAATATTCTCTCTCTCTATTGTATCTCCAGGTACGACGGTTAGTTGTCGACTATATTTAAATAATCATTTTAAAATTTAAATATAATTGGGTGCCATCCCTGGGGATGTTACTATAGAATTTATAATTTCAATTTCGTTTTGGAAACTCAACGGTATTGAAATATTAAATATGATATGAAAGTAGCTTTGCTTTATTTAAAATTAATTATAAAATCTTTAAATTATTGCTTCTTAGACTTCTTCTTCAGACCCTCAATATAAATGCCAAGTCCTTTTTGAACAGCTGGCTGATTGATAAAGAACAAAAACTTTTCCAGATCCTCCTTACGTTCTTTCTCCAACTGCCCAAGATCAGCTGCCCGGAATTGCAGCTTGGTCAGAGACCGAGCCAAAGGATTGACCTTAGCAAAAGTACCAATAAAGGCCTCACACTTTGCTATAGCTTCTTCCTTACTATTGGCCGTCTCATCGATGAGTCCAACTTTAAGAGCCTCATCGGTGGTGAACATACGGCCCTGATTGAGGGCTCGCTCGGCGTCTTTCTGCGGCAAAACACTCAAAAAGGCGGCCATAAACCACTTTGGGGCGACAATGCCCAGTTGGGTTTCATTCAGACCTATTGTGAATTTTGGTAACATCACCCGGTACTCGCAGGATGTGGCCAACAAGCAGCCGCCGGCGGGTGAATGGCCCTGCAAATAAATAGGTTATGTTCATATAGATAAAAAAAAAAGGATATATGAAGAACACTATGAACTATGTATGTATATACATCATTCAATAATTTGAATAATTGAAAACCTACATTGATTGCTGCTGCTGTAGGCACACTGCTGCCATATAGCGCCAACCAAGTTTCCTGAAGTTGAGACCAAAATGCGCGAATCCTATCCTTGTCTGGCTTGTACATCTCCAGGATATCTAACCCAGCAGAGAATATTGTTGCGTTCGACTACAATATATATATTATAGCATTTATACCGTTTAAAAGGATTCTAATATAACTTACAGAAGCTAAAATGAGTCCCCGGCTCTTGTTGCTTTCGATTTCGTCGATGGAGGTCTTAAGATCCTGCAACAGTTCCAAATTTAAGCCGTTTACTGGTGGCCGGCACATTGTGAGAGTGGCGATTCCTGTTTTGTCGTTAACCTCCACGGTGGTCAACTTTGTGCCAGTGGACATCATCCTGGATGAGGCCCCGCGGGCCAACAGGCTCAAGACTTTGGACCGCAACATAATCACCTAAGATCAAAGAAAGATGTAAACAACAATAAGTGACCTTTGGACAGATGACGGTATTTTCCTTGATTTAAACTTTTAAATGAGAATAATTTTAATTTAAATACTTTATTTTTTTAGCTATAATAAATCTCAGTAATAAATTAATAATGCTATTTATTTACCGTTTAATTATTTTAAAAGTAAATTTTAACAACCAATCTACAGAACCTGTTGAGCTGTTATCGATAAACAGGGGCGTAACAAAAGGGATAAGGTGAGGTAAAAGATCGAAAACAAACCATAATTTAAATAATAAAAATATACCATAAATAGAGAGTATGTTAGTATTTAAATTATAAACCTTTTAAATGTTTATTTTTTTACAAAGAAACGCGTATTTTTTTAATTGGTGACAACGTTATTCTTATATTCTTATACCTTTTTTAAACGAAATAATATTTTTCACATATTATCTTAAAGATTAAATTGAATTTTTCATAAAGTTGTATTTTTTCGGATTTGTAAAGAAATTATTTAAAATTTTAAAATATAGAAACATATCGCAGATTAATCGATACTAAAACGCACTCGATAGTAGCGATAGCATAGTTTGACAGATCCGCTGACGTTTACACGTCACTGACAGCCGCCGACCGTTCTGCATTCGTGTACACTTCACTCTTCGACTCGACTTTGCGTTGTAGCAAACTTTCTCCGTGAAAAACTAACTAAAAATGGGCTCTGGAAAACAACAGAAAGTGCAGTCCTCTGGCTTCACCAAGGAGGAGGAGCTGCTGCTTCAGGACTTCAGCAGGAATGTGAGCACCAAGTCATCGGCTCTGTTTTACGGCAATGCTTTTATCGTCTCGGCGGTGCCTATCTGTAAGTAAATGGCCACGTTGAAGGTTTTTGGAGGATTGCTGAATGAGAGGGTTTACTTTTAGGGCTCTTCTGGCGCATCCACAACATGGACTTGTGGCCCAGCTCCATCCTGTTCGTGTTGGTGACCGCCGCTAGCACCTACCTGATGGCCACCGCCTACAAGAACATCAAGTTCCAGCTGAAGCATAAGATTGCCGGACGCAGGGAAGAGGCCGTCACCCGAGAGGTGAACCGTCAGCTGGGTGACGACAAGAAGGTTACCCGCAAGGAGAAGGACGAGCGCATCCTGTGGAAGAAGAACGAGGTGGCTGACTACGAGGCCACCACCTTCTCCATCTTCTACAACAACGCCATCTACCTGGCCGTGATTATCTTCATCAGCTTCTTCCTGCTGAAGAACTCCACGCCGTTCGTCAACTACATCTTCTCCGTGGGCATTGCCAGCGGCGCCCTGGCGCTCTTCTCCACCAGTGCCCAAACGAACTGAACTCCATGTCACCCCATGTTCATGTAATCGTAATTTAAGGCCCTTTAAGAGATTCCCTTGGACAGCGGTAGAGAATTCCGTTCATAACTCGATCCCTAGGGGCGGCTGGTCCGTTGTTCATCCTCCAGCCCACTTGGATCGATAGTACCAGCAGTGCGAACATAGAAATTTTATATTGTATACACCGATTTGTTGTCTTTCTTGTAGAAAGCTGATCCACTTCCATTTTCAAATGATTTAATAAATTGTAAAATTAAAATTATCGCTTTATTTATTACTAACGAGGTTAAAAAAGAGGGAATTTTTGAACTAAGTAATTTTTAAATGCATGTTTCAAAGGGAAAGAACCAGTTTAGACAGCCTCCAGAAGCAGGGCGATGCCTTGGCCACCACCGATGCAAGCTGATCCAATGCCGTACTTCAGCTTCTTGCGCCTGTAAATGTAAAAGGAGAATTATTACAGTGATCTATAGGATTAGGGAAGAAATCCCTTACTGTAATTCGTGCACCAGGTGACCAGTGATGCGAGAGCCACTGGCTCCCAGGGGATGGCCCAAGGCAATGGCACCGCCGTTCACATTAAGCTTGGAGGGATCCAGTTTCAGGGCATCGGCACAGGCCAAGGTCTGAGCAGCAAAGGCCTCATTGATCTGCGAATAATATGATGAGTGAACATGAATAAAAATATATATAAAAATATATTACCTCAATTAAGTCGATATCTTCCAGCTTCTTTCCGGATACCTTCAACACATTCTGAATGGCGGGCACGGGACCAATACCCATGATCTCGGGCTTGACTCCGACAAAGGAGAAAGCAACAAGACGAGCCAAAGGCTTCAGGTTATATTCCTTCAAGGCCTCCTCAGAAGCAACGATAACAGCCGAAGCTCCATCACATATTCCGGAAGCGGTTCCTGCGGTCACAACACCATTCTTCTTGAAGAGCGATGGTAGCTTGGCAAGACCCTCGATGGTGGTCTTGGGGCGAGGATGTTCGTCTACCACGAAGTCAACTTCCTTGCCTTTGACCTTCAGTTTGATGGGAGCGATCTCGGCGTTGAAAGCACCCTCCTTCTGTCCCTTTTCCCAGTTCTTCTGCGACAACAAGGAGAACTCATCGACACGCTCCCTGGTGATCTTGTATTGGTCGGCCAGGTTCTCGGCAGTCAGAGCCATGGGTAGCTTGCAGTAGGTGTCTGTAAGACCAGCCCAAAGAGCATCCTCCAGGTTGTAGTTGGCTCCCAAGGTGGTTCCGAAGCGAATATTGCGGGCAATGAAAGGGCTTTGGGACATATTTTCAACACCACCGGTGAGGGCAACCTTGGCGCCACCGACCAGGATATCCTGGGCGCCGTTGACGATCGACTGGAAGCCGGAGCCGCAGAGGCGGTTGATGCCCAAGGCAGGTTTCTCAATGGGCACACCGCAGTTGAGACCCACATGACGGGGAACGTAGATGCCATCCGTGGATGAAGACTAAGAAATAAATATATGTATATAAATAGATTTTTAAAGAACTAGAGGTTTTTTTTTATAGAAAGACAATCCTTTAAATTTTGCTATTTATGATTGCCGATTCTAAAAATCTTTATCTCCTGCCGAAAACTAAATAAAATCAGACCCAACGAAAAGGTTGAGTATTAGGTTTTATGATAAGAAATAATATTTTTACTGAACTGATAATTTAAGTACACAAATACCAATATATGGTCATAACTTTCACTAGTAAGCTACTACAATATTTGGCACAACCACTTACCGCTATCACATTGCCCACAATGACGGTGTCCACCTGCTCTCCCTTGAGCCCGGCAGCGTCCAGGGCAGCCTTGGCCGCTGTCGTCTGGAGCTGAGTCTGGTTGATGCCCTTCAAGGCGCCACCAAAGGTTCCAAAGGCCGTTCGCTTGGCAGCCACAATATAGATACCTTTAATAGATAAATCATACACACTAATGTAGAGCATATATAACGTGTGTAGAAAAGAATGATAACTAAAAACGAAAGCAGTTTTTTTTTTTTGGATTGTGATCAACAGGTCCAAAGTGCACCCGGCTAAATGCGGGGGGCGAGGAAGCATCAGATTAAAGACCCAGTCCAAAGTTCAAACAGAGAAAAGTAGATCATCTTTTTCTCGATAGTACAGCTTCCATATTAGGTTTAAACGCTATTAAAGTTACCTTTAGTTGCTGCAGACATTATGTTTTAAAACTTTAGGCAAAAAATTAAAATAATATAATTATAAATACGAGGAGAAACGCGTCTGTCTCACTGCAGTAACTTTTGTTTTGTGGTCGCGAATGGTTGCCATCGTCGACATATTGGAGGTAAAGCTTGAGAGCTTTCCGCGGACAAGCCCACAAACAATATTCAGCTGTTCCATACACTGAAAGAAATTGTGTTCGGAAAAAATAAAATAAACTGTCTTAGGTTTCCTAAGAGTTCTGGTCTCTTGGTATTTTATATTTTTTTGTTTTAAGATACTAATTCTATTAGAAAGAGTTATAGTTATCTGATACTGACTATTTTCATCTGATTTTGTATATTATGTATTATAGATTAGCTTAACATCGATGACTAATCATTGATTAGCAATTCGAATTTTCACAATTAATTGAAAGAAAACTTTTAAAACACCCAGCGACGTCAGACCCACTCCAATGAAAGACTTTTCTTAAATCTTATTTGGATTACGGGATGCATATGCAAATGCAGATACTTTAATTGGACTTTATGCTTGGTAACTAGGGCAGAGTTTCAGAGGAATACAAAATTTAATGACATTGGTATCGAGTTTAAATGGAGACAGGGTTTCTGTATTTATTAAGAGATAGTGTGCCGTTTATCTATATCTAGGGGGAGTTAGAAATGTCCATGTTGTCCGACTTCTCAACGCTAACCGACTTGCGCGACTTGGAATCGGCACTGGAGCGTGAGTTCTTGGCTTCCATGTCCTCGGAAATGGATTTAAGTTTCCTCGTTTCCGGCGTACGGGATCGTTCCCGCCGACGAGATGAAGAGGATAGCTTGGAGGATACGACAATAGGATCCTTGCTACGACTGGAGCGTGACTTTATGCTGCTGATGGCCAGCGGCGGAGAGAGGGAGCTCCGCTTGCTTCTGAAGCGCGGTGAACGAGACGCGTGCTTCTCGCTGCGGTGTGACTTTTTGCTGCGCTCCCGAGACCTGGACCGTTTACCGCTTCCACTTCCTCCGCCTCCAGCTCCATGGGAGCGAGAGCGTCGCGAACGTGAGGTGCTGCGGCGATGGCGGGACCTGGAACGCTTGCCGCGCGACCTGGAGGATCGCGAGTGTTTACCGCCGCGGGACCGCGACCGTCGCGAGCGGGAAGTGCTGCGGCGATGGCGGGATCTGGAGCGCTTACTGCGGGATCGGGATGAGTGCTTGCCACGAGAGCGAGAGCGGCGGGATCGGGACACGCTGCGACGCTCCCTGGAACCGGATCGCCTTGACCGCCGCCTCGAGGAAGAGCGGTGTGAGCGGGAGCGACTAGTGCGACGTTCTCGGGAACGAGACCGTGATCTCGACCTTCGTCGCTTGTCCTTGGCCAACATGCCAATCACAGGGTCTATGGCAGCCGAAATCATGCTCTGAGCTTCCTTAACAATGGTCATCGCCTCCTCAATCTCTGCCTGCGCCGCCTCATTGGACTTGGCCTCCGGCTTAGTTATAGAGTATGTAGAGTGGTAGACGTTCAGGTGGCCGCCTTTAAACTCCTGTCCCTGCATGCGCAGGGCGTGGATAATGCTGGTTTGCTCGCAGAACTCTATCATGCAGTACGTCTTGTTGTCCTTCTCTGCCCAGCGGGCATACTTCACTTCTCCTGCTCGCTGGAAGCATTCCATCAGGTCATCCAATCGCCACTCGTTCTTCACATCGCAGACGATAATTGTCCGTCGAATTTCCTCAATCTTGCGGGCATCGTAAAAGGATGGCAGTGCCGGGTATTCCGGCAGGTTGAACTCAACAAGCTTGGGGTCGTAGGTTTTAATCACTTGCTGCGGCAGTTGTCCTTCGATGCGATTGATTACTTCCGGAGGCAGTTTTGAGTCCGGCTTCTGAAGTCCCGGCACGATGGTGCCGTTTTTGAGCATCTCCAGAGCCCGGTACTCTTCAGGTATGGCTAACACGGGGATGACAATCAAAGCCCGGTCGATAAACACCGTATTCGTCAAGTGCTGAGCCACCGGCACGCTGCTCGTATCCGTGTACTTGACGTAGCAGATGCGGGACTGCACTGGACAAGAGACATCTCGGATGGTGGGGTACAGACGGATCTCCTCGATTTTTCCAATGTTGCCAAACAGTGTTTGCATCTGGTCCTTGGTGGCCTGCGGCGCAATATTGGTCACCTGGATCACACGCGGGGTGTTGCCGCCTGCCATGTTTAATAGTTTTTGGGTTCTCTATGGATTCGGCAAGAGTTTTTTCCCACAATACGTTTTTTTCAATTAACCTCCAAGACCAAGCGAAAAAATCCAAGGGTTGCAATGTAATGGAAAGTTTTGTCGGGATTTTTTAGGATCATAGTTCACCAGGGCTGCATGACAAGGGTGATTGTTGATTCCAGACATCTGGCAACATCGGTTACTGCTCCAGCTCTATATCACGGCCCTTAGGATTCTTGCAAACTAAATATTGTGAATTAAGATAAACAAATTGCCAGGATGTCGGACCGCACAGCATCCGTCTCCGCGCCCGCGTCATCGCTTGCCAAGTCAAGCCTCAGTGACCTGCGACAATTTCGCATCAACAAGAGCCAAGCCGTCAGTGCTGGCTCTGCGAAAACGGGTAATTGTGTGCCTGAATCCCGTGGTATATACAGACCCTGATGTCGCCCCTTTTCACCCATTTCAGAGCGTGTGCCGGGCAAGAAGCGCATCCAGGTGATGGCGGATAGTGACAGTGACAGTGCCGATTGTCAGACCCCCAAAAAGACCAAGCTGGAGCTGACGGTAAAGGAGAAGGAGGAACGCTACATGGCAGCCGCAAAGATATCCCCCCAGTACGATACAATGGTATGTTCCCCCCGAATCGGTCCAAAACTCGGCCAATTATGCCAGGTGAAAAGTGAGGGAAAGGTGAAGGCGGGGGAAGCACGCGTCCCATTCCCGTTCCCGCGTCTGTGTGCGAAACATGGCGATTAGATTCGGGCCCGGCATTGAAAAACAGCTGTCGTGCCAGGAGCGTCGAAAACGGGGGTGGCGGCGATAAATGTTGTCCTTAACAGAACTATGGTATGATACTTCTGTGTTTCAAGAAGACAAAAATATGTATAGTCGGTTTTTTTTTTTTTATACATTTTTTTATAAGAAAATATTTTTTTTTATAATTACTTATATTTTTTATTTAGGCTATTCAGGAGTCCCTTTCTCGCACCAACTGGGACGTGGCCGCATCGGTTCGATACTTGAGGGAACATTGCAAGCCCAAGATTCATGGACAGAATGGACCTCTGGTCAAATCCAAGTTAAAGCACAGTTCCAATGGCACGAGTGGGACATCCCACGGTGCCTACTCGGACGGCGACAACTCGGATGACGACGATGTCAAGCAGTCCAAGGATCAGGTGTACGACAGTGACGACAGCGATACTGAAATGGCCACAAAGATGACGGGACAACGGAAAAAGGTGTTCCAGTTTATGAACGAAGCCACCATATTGGAGATGCAGTCTGTGAAAACGCTCTCGGAGAAGAAGGCTACGGCCATAGTGGAATTGCGACCCTTTGCGGACTGGGCTGAGTTGCGACGGAAGTTGGAGAGCAACAAGATTTCCGCCGATTTGTTGAACTACGCTCAGGACCTTATCAACAAGCAAAACACAGTAGCCACCATTTTAAGCAAATGCAACAATATGGTGACGCGACTGGAGAAGGCAATTTCCAATGGTGCCGGTATTGTGGAGCAACCAAAACTTCTGAGCAGCGGGTAAGTGTCCAACGGGGTTACCTTAAGATCTTTGGGCTCTAATGTAATCGAATATATTTACAGATTGCAGCTGGCCGATTATCAGATCATTGGCCTAAACTGGCTCACCGTAATGCACAAGCAGGAGATGAACGGCATTTTGGCGGATGAAATGGGTCTGGGAAAAACTATTCAAGTGATTGCGTTCCTTGCCTACCTGAAGGAGAACGGTCTTAGTCAGGCGGCGCATTTAATTGTGGTACCCTCGTCCACGTTGGACAACTGGGAGGCGGAAATTACCCGGTGGTGTCCCAAACTGGTGGTGGAGAAATACCACGGCTCGCAAGAAGAAAGGCGACGAATGCGAGGACGCTATGCCAAGGATGGCTTTACTGGATTTGACGTCTTGCTTACCACGTGAGTTAACAAAACCATTAAATCAGTTTTAAATGTAAAATATGACTTATTTTTATTAAATAGATATCATATCGTCGGCTCCACACCTGAGGAGCGAAAAATGTTCCGTGTTTGTAAGCTGGACTACGTCATATTCGATGAGGCTCACATGTTGAAGAATATGACTACCCAGCGATATGCAAACCTTATCACTATCAATGCCAGAATGCGCATTCTACTCACCGGCACCCCTCTACAAAACAACCTCCTGGAGCTGATCTCTTTACTGTGCTTTGTGATGCCTAAATTTTTTGCCAAAAGCATTGAAGACATCAAAACGCTATTTGCAAAGGTACTAAACAGATTTTTGATTTACTTGAGAAGATATTACTTCATACACAAATTATTTACAGAAAGGAAAAGCTGATGGAGATCAGGAAGAGGTGTCACAATTCCAGGAAACTCAGATCCAGCGAGCAAAGCGCATTATGAAACCCTTTGTGCTAAGGCGCCTTAAGAAAGATGTCCTAAACAACCTGCCCAAGAAGCTTAGCCTTGTGGTATGTTTGCATATAGATAGAAATCTTGTCAAGACACTAATGTTTCAACTTTCTTGCAGGAAAAAGTTCCCATGAGCACACAACAAAAACAATACTACCACGAACTGGTCGATTATTATTCAAATAACAAGGGCGAAGTCTGCAGCAGCGAACGCGCAGGCATTGCAATTATGATGGAAATGCGCCGCATTGCCAATCACCCGCTACTGATGCGTCACTATTTCACCGACGAGAATTTGCGTGGATTTGCCAAGCGCCTGGCACGGGCGAGCTCCTACAAAAAGACCAATGAGCAGTATATATTTGAAGACCTGGCCATCATGTCGGACTTCCAGGTTTTCCAGTTGTGTAACAAACATGTAGGTGGCTTAAGAAGCCATATTTTAATTATATTAATTACAAAATTTATTTGTAACAGGAATTATATGATGTAAAGATACCCGATCCGCTAATTTGCGACTCTGGAAAATTCAGATACCTGGACGCGTTGCTCCCCAAGCTGAGAGAGGAGGGCCACCGAGTTTTGCTATTTAGCCAATTTACTATGATGCTGGACATCGTAGAGGAGTATCTGAGAGTTAGGAAACATGGCTTTTGCCGGTTGGATGGCTCCACTGCTGTCAAGGAGCGTCAAGACCTGATCACCGACTTCAATGTTGACGACAATATATTTGTGTTTCTGCTGTCCACCAAGGCGGGGGGCGTGGGTATCAATCTCACGGCCGCCGATACCTGCATCATTCACGACATCGATTTCAATCCGTATAACGACAAACAGGCCGAAGATCGGTGTCATCGCATGGGACAGCAGCGTCCAGTTACCATCTATCGACTCATATCCGAAAGTACCATCGAGGAGGGTATCCTGATGGCCGCCGAAGAGAAGCTAAAACTGGAGAAAGATATCACGTCCACCGAGAAGGGCGAGGTGCATGAGCAGCGTTGCGTAGTAAAGTTGCTGACCACAGCCCTGGGTCTGGACAAGGACCAGGAGGAGCAGCTGAATAACTCGTTGAACAATTCAATTGCCTCTCCCGCCAAGTAGGCACTATCATCGTTATATTCTTAGGTATTTTTTTATTCTCCGCCCGCATCGGATCTGTCACGTACTTTTTAGCAATTGAATTATTTGGAAACCTTTGTTCCGTAACTTTAGCATTCAATTTTGTATTTAAATTATACCTATTAATGTATGCTTGGATTGTGAGATTTACCCTGAGGTTGCCCATGGTGGGTCATAAATTGTGTTAAGAATTTGCCTTCGATAAGATCACAGCATGTTTTTTCAATAGTATAACGAACATTTCCATGATAAACTAAGGCACTCAAATGGTTCTTGGCCTCGTTATTGTGTTTCCGACTTTATGTAGTTTCCAGATTCTGTGTAAGTGTATTGTAACGTATTCAAAAAACATTTATTATAAGGATAAAGAATATTTGTGTACGAAAGCGATCGTGTGATCTGTTTCTGTTACCATAGCTCTATTGGAGAGGCTCGACAACCCTCAACCGATCGTTCTCTGAATGTGCGGCACGAGATCGGGGTCTCTGTGTGGCGAAGAGAATGCCCAGAGACCGGAGAGCCGCGCACTGTGTTTTGAAAAGCTTTTGGCTCTGTGTTTGGCGGCGGCGATTCTTCAGTCTTTAGTCTTCAACTGATCGCTCGCGCCGATGATTTAATTTTTAAGTTAAAGCGTACATACATACGTGCGAATATACATGCATACATAATAAAACGTACATCGACAAATAGATATACCCTCGCATATTGTGTATCCGCAGTTAGTTCGACGACAGCAACGAATCTATGAAAATATAAAGTAAAACTTAATGGAAATCTATTATTACATATAACTGTGTGCAGTGCAGAATCTAATCCCATCCTCCCCTGTACCAAGAAGTCCCTTTCTATTTTACTCAAACGGATCGCCATCGGCATCCGTTTGCCATTATGTGATTCATGCATAAGTACATAAGTTTTCCTCCCCGAATTCTTTTCTTCGCTTCGGCTTTGGCCGTTGAGGCAAGCCGAAATCTATTTAAAAATAGACAAAACTGTTTTGCGAGCGGAAATCATATTGCCGCGGCCACTAAAAACGCTAAATAAATAAGGCCAATAATATGAAATAGAGTCTGGTGTTTTTGGCCGACGTTTGGTTTGTTTTCTACTAGCGGAAACGGAAGGAACGCCAACTGCATATACGTTTATAGCGATATACCGTTGCGATACAGTCATCACTCGCAGGGCTGTCATATACTATAAATATAGATGCGATGGCGGTGGCACATGTGAGCAGTTTTTGGCAAATGCCAAAGAATACAAAACAGCGCGTGCTGGCAAAACATGACAAAGACTATATGTACAATATAAATAAAAATTAGAATTAATAATCCCCAACGTTTTTTTCTGTATGTGTGCAGTGACCCGTATGTGTACGTGTGAGTAATCCGAAACAGAAAACTATAACGAGCGATCTACATTTAAACAAAAATAAAAAATAAAAAAAAATAGAAGAAAAAATTCATTAAAAAAAAGAAAACGAACGAAAATAACGCGAACAAAAACAAAAACAAAAACAAAACGGAACTGTAACAATTGACGAGCACAACGAGCCGAGAACGAGCAGCACAAAGCAACAAACCAAAAATAGATGACAGCGCTGTCAACGGTGCGTATACTTATCGTATTAGTAATGCCGGCCACCACCCGCCCATTGACTCATCTTCCCGTCTTCCTCCTCCCGATCTCGATCCCGCAGCCGCAGCAGCAATAAAATCATCAACAACAACCAAAAGAGACACACACTCTACAATCAATTGTGATCTGAGTACTCAGTGTGTGTGTTTGTTGTTTTGTATGTATCTGCGACGTCTCTGTATCTGAATCTGAAAAGTAGCAATCCATAACTAGAAGGAAGGCTTCCATACTTGCATATTCGGAATATTACGGAGTGGAGTGACGCTGTGAAATATTAATTGAAAGCTATTGCTTATGGTTTTAACTTGGCGCGCATGCCAAGCATGATTAAACGAGACACGAAAGAGCGTATCTACGAAGTAGATAAATATCTTTATACGAATAACTGAGCTGCAGCACCACCAACAATCGAATCGACGAAAAAAAACGCACACCTATCTACTATATAGACTCTATTAGGAGAGACAGAGCGATAAACAAAAGCTCAAGCAGTAGCAGTAGCACCAGCAGCAGCAGCCGCAACAACGAAACAATTTGGAAGATACATTTTTTTGCACTAAAAGGTAAGTATCTGGAGGTGATTCACTTAGAGACCCCGGCCAGGCCCAGCTTAGTTCTGTTTGCTAATCTGAGAATCTAAAATTGCCAGCAATTAACAAGCCAAGTTCACATAGTTGTGTTCCTAGTCACAGATACAGTGGAACCTGCTTAACACAGTTAAGTAGGTAACGAGTTAACAAGGTATTAAGAGACTTCTGTCTCAACTGTAGTGTTTCTTTGGCCAACACTCATTGTGTACTCCTTGTGGGCCGCAGAATGGGTATTACTGGGGGGCTGATGTCATGTTCGCGGAGACGAAGCTCTCTAGCCAGCGGCCCCAAAAACCAGATGCAACTCCTACGCTCGGACATAAGCCGGTTGCTCGCCGAGATCGAGTAGTTTACGCCGCCGCTCTCGGCTCTGGCCTGGTCTTGGATAAACACTTTTTGTGTATCTTTACTTGATATATTATATATGAGTAGGTGAACATGTTATGGGTTTGGTTCAGGGCTAGAAATTGTGCTTTTCTTGCGACGAACTTATTCTCAAAATCCAATCATTCCAGACCCAGCAATCGGACTCTGCAAAAAAAAGGGAACTTGTCCCTTAAATCGTATTAAGGACAAAAAGGAGAAGAAACGGAAATCAACTATTGTGATATGTACAAATTTACTCAAATACTGAAGCCACATAATATTTAGACGTTTATTCCGGAACGGAGGATAGTCTACCAAAGATTAGGCTTTCAATTTTCAATTAAGGATTTTTTTTAGCTAAACAGAGCAGAAGCTGCACTCACTATTGACAACACTATTGAGAAATGGCCGAGAAAGTCGAACAGGCCCAGCAGGCCAGCTTAAATGGTCAACAGAATAATGTCCGCAAGTCGCCTGAATATCCCGGTGTTATCTCCCGGGAACGCAGCTTTGTGCGCACCTCGAATCAACAGGTGAGTTCTATTGCTACCCGTACCCGTACCTACCTCCTACCCCAATCCCCAATGTCGATATTGATATCAGAAGGTAACCATATTTTCGTATTCGATTTCAGAATATCAACAAACGCCGAAGTCTGGCGTTCAACGTTCCTGGCACCAACCAGACTGGACAAATGAGAAGCAAACCGGCCATGGATATATACAGACCGCCCAGTGAGTGTTTTTGCCATTCCTTAGACTTTCTCCATGTGGCTTGGGTGCTTGGCTGGGTGTTCAGTGCAATAGAAAAACGTTAAAATCAATTAGACAGTACAAATGTCAGCTATATTGGCTCTAAACCGGATTTATCTCCCAGTTATTTATCATTTGGCTTGTCTACTCATCCAAATCATAGTTCTCACCGCATAAATCAAATCTTAATGGATGCATTTTAAAAAAGAAGGTTTGTCAAGTTTTTAAATTTAATACAAATTTTTGAAAACTTCTCAACTGACTTCATCTTCAAAAATAAAGCTTCAAAATTGTAGATAGCCGATATTCAGCTTATTCAGCCCTGCTCTTAGCTTCAAGCTTCTGAATACCAACGATTACTTATCGAGACCATATCTTTCTTTTGATTCTTTTCATATCCCCGTCTCATACCCTGTATATTCCACACTCCCCCCACGCACAATGTTGTCCTGCCCTTCACATCATCACACATAATATTGGGTATCCCGAAAACCCCAATCCCCTCCCAAATAAAAAAAAAAAACAACCTAACCCTGTCTCAGATGTACGCGGCGAGTTGGCTGCTCCAGCCGGTAATGGTGGTGTTGGTGCAATTGGTGGTGTCGGTGGTGCCGCAAACAAGCTGAATGTCAATGCCCAGGAGTTTACAATGACGAACAGCTCTGGGTCACCGGCCGAGGCACTCAGTAATCGGTAAAGCAAAGACTTATAATGCCATCGTTTACCCCTCTTCCCGTCTCCTTGCAGAGCTAAACTACAGTCTACAACATTCTTCCAGTTCGTCGCTGATCTTCCCGCCCACCAATGGTCCCGGCGGGGTGGCTTTGGCCCCGGTTCTGGGTCAGTATGGAAACGTGAATCGTCGCCAGGCCGGTCTCTCCCTGGGCGGCATGCCGGGACTAAAGGCCAGTCATCATCGCTCCATTCTGGTGACGCATCCAATCAGTCCACTGGCCGGACAGCTTCCATTGATGAACTCTCCCTCCAGTGGGAATATATTGCATGTAAGTAAAATGAAAAATTTTAAAAGTATGAGACCAATATCTTTATTTATTAATTTAAAAATAATTGTTTATTTAAGACCACAAATCGCGTCAAGTTTGCTCCTGAGCCCAGAGGTCAAAAGCCATCAAATCACAGTCAGTTTGGAGGAATAAACAACAACAACTATGGACAGCCGTATCAGTCCAACTTAAATGGCATAGATCCCTATATGAATGGAAATGCCCTGCAGCGCTCCAAGTCTCTGTCGTCGGCGGATGCCCTCACCCGGGGAATGGCCGGCTTGGGACTGGGATTGGGAAACGAGGTGGCCGATATTGGTCAGTTTACACCAGAGATCCAGACATTGATCGAGACAGCCCTGGAGGATCCCAACAAGCTCAATTCACGGTGCCTCATGGAGCTGACCTCGCAGTTCATCAAGCGAGCTGTGGAGAGTCGCAGGTTTGCGTTGCCCATTTCGCGTTTGTGTCTGAACATCATCGCTAGGGAGCAGAAGGAGACCTTCCTGGAGGCCCTGCTCAACACCTGTCGTCAGTGGTACCAAGAACGCGAAAAAGTAAGTATTTCTGATCGATCCTTAAGATTTCCAATCTTATTAATAATTTATTTCATCCCACAGCTATTGTTTGCCATCCAGGGAATGAAATCGCCTTCTAGAGTGCGCTTCACCGCCTTCATGGCCTTCCTTACGGAGATGTTCTGCCAGCTGAAGCGACGCCAACTCCAGCTCCGCACCCACCACGAGGGCACACCGCCCCCACTGGTCCTGCTCAGCCTGCTGTCCAAGTGCTGCGAGGATTGCGTGCGTCCTCCAATTAGATCGCTTTCAGAGGTTTGATTTTTATCCTTTTACCATATATTTCAGAGACTAACTTATTTTTATCTGCCCTCCAGATTGAATGCCTTTTCTATGTGCTCACCTGCATCGGTCAGGATATGGAGCAGCAGTTGCCACAACAATTGGAGCTACTGATGGGCCTCGTTCGTGATGCCTTTCTGAATGCTGGCGAATCGGCGGCATCCATCCGGCGTACTCTTCTCCAGCTTATTGAGCTGAAAGCCTCCCACTGGCAGCTACCCGGCAATACGGTTCTCTACTATACCCACAATAACAATTAGGAGCTGGGGAATGTCATGACGGACTGGAAACTGGAAAATAATTTGAAACCAGGGCGGATGCTGAGGTTCGGGCATTGTGCAATCTTAGAGACACCACTAGATATCAGTTCTGTTGTCGCATTGCATTTAGGCCTGCCAACCTTCTGTTCTATTTATCTTATCGTACTCTTACCTAGGCATAAGCAATATTTATTTCGGCACTGCAATAGAGAGAAACTAACCCGAGACTTGCACACTACACACCAAGCCCAGTACCAAATAAAATGGGCCGATTTCATTCGGTTTCTTCAGATTCTTTAATAAATCTAAGGCTCAATTTTTATGTGAATCCATATCTTTATGTTTAATAAATCACAACTAGTCAAAAAATAATTAACAAGTTATTTATGCATTGATTTACATTTAATGATTTCCAAGGGATCCCATGAAAATGGGGTTTTCCCCTATATGAGCCACAGTGATAGATATATCTTCCCCAATTCTCATCCGATTCTCAAGCGGAGTACCTTAAACGATTTGTGGATCGATTCGCTACCATTCTGCATCAAAATCCTGAGACAAAATATTTTTTCGATTCATTGTCCATTTTTCGTGATGGGATCCCTTGAAAATGGTGTTTTCCCCTATAGGGCCCACCGTGATGGCTATATCTTCCCCAATTCTCATACGATTCTCAAGCGGAGTACCTTAATCGATTTCTGAATCGATTTCCCACCATTCAAAACCAGCATCAAAATAAAAAGGTCATATGGTCGTATAAAAAGGTCATATGGAAAGTTCTTATAAAAAGGTCATATGGACATTGCAATGTCAAAACCCCCAATTGGTCAAGCCTATAAACAGTCTGGTTTAATTACACAAACTATTGTTTTACGTCACGGTTCTCCTAATTATTATATAAGGGCATTAATATCGGCATTTAATAGTACCAATTAGAGCTATGAACATAGAAGCTGTCAAGTGGTGCTTCAGTTCAAAAATGGCATCGAACATTTCGCGTTGGTTAGACAAGCTTTCCAACAAAATGTTGCTTTTCTGGCTGCGTTTTTATTTTCGAAATTTCAATTTACTCGGATTGATGGGACTGGAGTTTGATGATTCCCAAAAAATGGTACAACTCACTTACTACAGTGTCGCCGTGGCCAGAATATTGGGTGTGATTCTGGTCTACGGTCAGTGTTACATAATCTGCAACCATTTTAATAACAGCCCAAGCGTCCAACCACTGGCTTTCATTTGCTGTCTATTGATTCAACCTCGTATCGTTTTTGAGAAAAGAATTCGGATTATAAACAGATTTATCAAGATCTCGCGACATTATTTCTACCAGCAAAAGTTCGAAGTACCCTGGTCGCTTCCAATATCGTTATTTATCAAAAGTAATGTTTACCCTCTGGATCTTTTGAACTTGGTTGAAAATTTTGATATTTTTGAAACACCAATAAAAATATTCAGCACTTGGATAATTTATATAACCTCTGACGTATTAGGCATGGGACTGTCAATGCTGGTGAATTACTTCGACATGATAAACGCTGAAATATCTGAAATTACAAAAAAGCTGCCAAGTGCAATTCTGCAAAAGGATACAAAGAACTTAAAAAGTTTAGAGAAACGTTTGGTTTTCTTGAGGAAAATGCACCAATCGTGTACAGTGATAACTCAATATGTCTTTGATTGCTTCGGTGTTCAGTTACTGTTGCTGGTGTACTCCAACATGAGCTTTCTGAGCTCGTTCTCTTTCGGAAGTTTTCTTACCAGTTTCGACAGTACCACCCTTTGCATGAGTCTTCGATCCTTTATTTTATCGCTTGATGACTTATGGACCAAAGGCTTTATCTGGCAAGGAATTCCTTGGTGGCATATGGCCCATCTGTATCAATTCGAAGAACTTCTTAGAGAGTTTCAGTGGCAAGAAAGGTCACAATATATAAGAATGGACATTGATTGGGCCAACGAGCTGCACAACCAGTGCTTGATGCATCATATTCTGAAGCCGAGGTTCCAAGTTCTAGGCATGTTCACCCCAAATCGCAAACTGCTTTTGCGAGTCATTTTTACTCTCAGCAGCATTCACTACAGAAACATTCGGGATTTTAGTCAGCATGAAGCATGGCACCTGGAAGTCTTGGACAATGAAGCATAAAACTATAATAATATCAAGTTTTTATTGAAAATCAATAGCTGAGCCACCAGAAGCTTTGAATTTCCATGAACTATGACATACAGAGTCATAGTCGAAGCATTAGATGAAAATTACTTTTACGTGGCAGCTGCTATAACTATTATCTGTAATGTTGCTAATTTGTAAATCCAACACGAATTGGGTCTATGGATGTCATGCCGGAACTTCAATCAGTATAGTAACAGTACACGGTATCAGTACACGGAATTTCTTCAGTATAAATATGACCACGCTCAGAAGGCCCCGCTTAAGCTGTCTTACCAACAAATTTCAAAAATTGTGGTCTAGACCTTACAGGAAAAACTTCAACAATGTTGCAAACAAATATCATCTCTTAAAGTTACGTTTTTATTTGGCAAGCTTTAATATCCTCGGATTAATGCGACTACAGTTTGATAGATCCGAAAATAAGTTTACTTTGACACCCTACAGCATTACGGTGACCAGAATGGTTGGTCTCTTTTTCTTTTACGTTCAGTGCCACATCTTCTATCAGCAATACAATAGAGACCTATACATCCTACCAGTAGCATTTATGCTCTGCTTATTATTCCAGCCTCGATCTGTCATCGAAAAAAGAGTCAGGATGATCAACCAATTTTTAAAAATTTCCCAGTATTATTTTTATCAACAAAAATACGAAATACCGTGGACGCTTCCCATTGTGGTATATCTTAATTATAGAATCATTTTAAAAATCCTTGCAGAACTAACTTGTGAAAACCCGTTGGAAATATTTGTGAAACCCATTAAATTTATTTGCTTTTTTATCATTTATATGACCACCGATCTACTGAACATTGGAATTTCAATGCTCACCAAGTACTTTGAGATTTTAAATTATGAAATAAATGAAATTACAAAATCACTTTCTATTGCAATCGTACAAAAGGATAAAAAAATGGTGAAAATGTTACATAGACGTGCAATATTGCTAAAGGATATCCACGATTTATTTACAAGGATAATTCACCGAATCTTTCACGATTTTATAGAACAGCTGGTTTTTATGATAATTTTAAACATTACCTTATTTTACGCCATTGAATTCAAACACAGCGTGGATCATTTAATTGTCAGCGTCAGCCTTAGGTCTTTCATTTATTCACTGGATAAATTATTGGAAAAGAGCTTAGAATGGCAATGCATTCCTTGGTGTTACATGGCCCATCAGTACGAATTCGAAGATATCCTTGGACATTATGAGGCGCTAGAAAGAGTACCATATATTCGAAAGGACGTGGATTGGGCAAACCGGCTGAGAAACCAGAGCCTGGTGCATCATATAATCAAAGAGAAGTTTAAAATTCTGGGCATGGTCTCACCAAATCGACGATTTCTATGGAAAGTGATATTAGTCTTTAGCAGTCATCACTACTTCATGTGGAGATTGCCAGCACTAACAAAATATTAAAATCAACTATTAGTAGCGACAAACATAATTACTATGCATTCTCGTACCTTTTTAAAAATAGAATTTCGGAGTAATATATTAATGACTTCAGCAGCAACTGTATTAAAAATCTTTAGTTCAAAAAGAACGCTTTATATATAACTGGGATGACTGAAATGTGTATAAATAAAAAATACAAGAAAACATGGCTTATCTCTTATTGACTAAAAACTGAAATGCTTATTTTTTTCAAAATTAATGTTTCCGGTTCCGTCTTTGGGTATATTTTCCCGCTCAAATGTTCCATCCCTGAAAAATATCGATAATGATTAGCTTAGCTACCATATCGATAGTTCGTGACTTGGCTTGCTATCGATATCGTCCCACCGCTAACAACCCACGGCTCTTTCCGGTTGAATTTTTTGACAAATCAACAACACAGAAAAATGGTACGAAATTAATTCGTGAATATGTGGGCAATCCTTAAGTGAAGCTACTTGACTAACTAATACAAATGTAAAGAAAGGCATAAGCCCCTTGCTGATACTGGAATTCTCAACCTTCTGCAGCTTTAAGCCCACAAATTTGGACCCCAAAAAATTGGTTGTAAATGGAGATACTGACTGGGTTTTTGTTTTTGTTCGCAGGCCAAGCGCACCAAGAAGGTTGGAATCGTTGGTAAATATGGTACCCGTTATGGTGCCTCCCTTCGTAAGATGGTCAAGAAGATGGAAATCACCCAGCACAGCAAGTACACTTGCTCGTTCTGCGGCAAGGTAAGTTTTTTCTTGAATTTCGCCCCGTCCAACCCGAGACTCATGATTCTATACATTCTTCCAATAGGATTCCATGAAGCGCGCCGTGGTTGGCATCTGGTCCTGCAAGCGTTGCAAGCGCACCGTCGCCGGTGGCGCCTGGGTGTACTCCACCACTGCCGCCGCCTCCGTGCGCTCCGCCGTGCGTCGTCTGCGCGAAACCAAGGAACAGTAAACACCAATGGAATACTCCAATGCTCCGTTATACTAGTTCCCGTAGTTTTTAATTGACAACGCGATTTTTCTGTGGTTTGCGCCGTGCCGGTCATGTGAAAATAAAAAATGGATTTTTTACTTTTATCAGTAAAAGAAAGTGCTGTTTATTTTTGATGTGCTAACCGATGATGTTCTGCGGGATTTCAAGGAAAGTAGTTCAGTAGTGCTAGTAGTTGTTCGGTATTCTTAAATAATAGAAAGCTTTATCGGCAGTTTAATGACCCAGTTCGTGCCAGACATGCCGGTCCCTTTTTTTGTCAATAGGTGCGGAAAACATGGGCCGACAGTTTTTAATAATTTCTTAACTTTTGTAAGTTCGGAGACAATATTTTCATACTGGACACATTCCACAAAATACTGGGCGCAATTTCCCAGCATTGTGCGTCGCAGGGAGAAAGCTCCATATATCCATTTTATTCTATGGGGCTTCCATTTGATAGAAGCGGGAACCACTATCTGTTAGTTCGGTGGTTATATTTTCAAACTTGAAATCAAAAACAAGTCTTTCCAAATAGTTAAATAGATGTACATTATTTCTCATTATTAGGAGGGTTTATTTCAAAAAGGGAGAATGGAATCCATCCATTCCATTCCATTCTGGAATTTTCATCCTCCATCTAGTAGACACGAGCCACATCCAGCTACTTTCTCAGTTCGGTAGCTATATTTACGTACAGAGTTAGTTTATTATGTCCTTACTTAGTATATACCAAATAATACTGGGATATAATTTAGGTTCCTGGGAAAAGAACCACCTAACTGCCAATCTGTAGGTCTTCCACCCTATAGGGGTTTGTTCCGCTCTAAACTCCTCCAAATCCTCCAAGTAAAAACGAAACACTTTAATTTTTCATCTTTTTTATTTATAAAATTTAAAAAGTCTCTAAACAAACAAAAATCTTTAAATTAAAAATAAAATATGTTGGCGTACATTTAGTTTTGAGTAATCTTCCTGTTGTTATCCTTTCGATTTGTGGTTTGATAGTTATTTTAATTGAGAAAATAAGAACTATATTTAGATAAGCATATAAATCAACAATTTAAAATAGATAGGCAGCTAAAAAGAATCATTTTTAGGATACAAAAGGACTTTTTGTTTTTTGGAAAAGTGGTCTTGACCTGTCTGCCTGTGTTTGTTGTTTGATTGGATTTCTCATGTTTTCTGCTATTTTAAAGTTTAATTAAAAATTGCACCGTCACCAGTTAAAAATAGTTGCTATTTTTTTTTCATTCATATGTATATATTGTTTCTCTATAACTATGGGTTCACTTTTGTCATCGTTTTTAAAATAAATTTAGCTAAAAAGTTTTACTTGGCTTGTTCTCCTGTGTCTCATGAGAGTTCGTTTTTCGGGGGATTTCCGTTTTTTTTTTAGTCAGGTTAAGCTTCAGTGTTTTTTGATTGAAATACTTTCTGAAATATTTACACAATAGCTGAAAAAGGTGTTTCGGTTTTCCATTTTGAGCAATATTTTAGTCGAGAGCTATTGATGTTATGCAAAACTTGGACTAAATCTAAATTTAATTTAGAACTTAATATTAAACCTAGAACTAAATGCAGTTTATAGTACAGTTTTGCTTGCTTTGCATAATATATGTTGTATATCATATACTTTATAAATATTTTATTTAAAGGTATGTATATTTTTAATAGCTACATTAATTTTATATACACATCTTCTTGGTTTTTTTAGTTATCTTCATCTGATTATGGTTATAAATATTTTTACACTGTATTTATGATATGCGTGCATTTATTTTTTTCAGAGATTTTATTCATTTCCCCTTGGTATGATTATGGTCTAGAAGCATTTCCTTGTGTACTTTTTTTCTTTTGTGATATGAGGAGCACATCAATTTGGTAGAAATATTGCCTAATTTTGGAGGGGTGCACGAATCGAACAACCCATAAAGTGGCTTAATGTATAAAAATAATAAAAATACGAGCATCACAAGACATCGCTCGTCTCAGATCTAGGAATGTTGTGTGCTGGGATTGCAGGGAATAATTTGAATCTGCCATTCCGATATGGGATTTGTAGTTATAATATTATGTTCTGCTATGACACAATTCTGCTAGGCAATTGCTTGGCCTGCCGTTGCTAGGGTTCTTCAAATCATATTCTGCGGAGCACAAATGTCAGTTAAATGCCAATTTATTGGTACTTGGTCGAAGCTAATGTAAATATATATACTTTACAATTAAACACACGCCTATATAAATTGTAAATCTGACCGTCTATATAAACACATTATACATGCATATCATGTACACACGATACAATATCTAAATTTTAGTTTAGTTCTGGCTCTCACGCACTCACACATACGCGCATCAAAAGTTGGGAAGACATTCTACTGCCGCGGGAAATCTTCGGCAGCAAACACATACATGCACACCGAAAAAATAGACATACATATATGATTTATCGAGAGAACTTATATCCGAACGAACTTAGGGCTAAGTAACTGTCAAAATCAAGCGCCAGATAATATTGAACATAAAATGGAAGTTCTCAGTATAGTTAGTAGGATCCGTTTAGTTTTAGTTGTAGTTGTTGTTGGGAGTCCCGCTTGGGGGGAGCTAGTGAGCCTGCCACTTGAACTTGGACTCCATCAGCCACTGCTGGCCCTTGCCGTAGCTGCAGGGTCGCAACAACGGCGTGTTGGCATCATCCCGCGTGGCACGTTGCAAGCACTGACCCGTGTTCGTATGACGAATCCATTTCTCCTTTAAAACAATGATTTTTAAAAAGGTTTTTTATAAAAATGTAAGTTATTTTCACTAACCTCCGCATCGTAGACCCATTCCTGATTGCCGCCCATATTGTGGCAACGCACCATGTTGACGGGGCCGTTGGAGCTGGAGGCGTCTAGGCACAGATCATCGGACATGATCTGCTGTCGCTTGGTGTAGGCAAACACCTGGTTGCCGCCCAGGCCATGGCAATAGCTAATGCCGACCTTTTCGTTGTACTTTCGGCCCATTGTGTCCAGACAGGTTTCTGTCTCGGCATTGCGGATCTATAACAGAAGTTTTGGATCAGTAGATATCTTTATAGATCATCTATATAGCTTACCTCTCCCAGGTAATAGTAGTCCAGAGGCATCAAGCTCTCGGGATAAACATTCTCCAAATACCAACGGAAGCTCTTGCACTTGAGTCGATCGCGAAGAGCCTTACGATCACTAACATCGCCAGCCGAAGCTTTGCGAGCTCCTAAAAGTGGGCCACAAATGGGGGGATAAACAAAGAGTATATATTACTAACGATATTTCTTTATAGAATATCTATAACATATAGGTTAGTGTATGTGTTGTTAGATCTAGGCAGATGTTTGTGTTAGAAAGGCAAGTTAGAAACGCATAACTACAAATATTAAAATCATGCCATACCACAACATTTACAAGCAGTTAGTATAATGAGGTTTACAAATAAAGAAGCAACATAAATCTTACATAAAAGATTCCACAAGTTAGTTACAAAACATAAATATTATCATCTATTAAACATAAAACCATTCCCAATAACATGTTGGATTTAGTAACCCTGTCGCATTGCATATATATTTCTATAGGATTGTGAGTAATGGGTCGGCTAAGAGGGACAAAGACATAAGGCATCTGGTGTGAATTTATTCCTTTGGGGTAGAAACGAGGCCAAATCGAGGAATGGGGACAAATCGCACAGCTAAAAGGCTAAAACAAGGGAATAATCAAGAACCAATAAAACAAAAACATTTCGCAAATCAAATACAAAAAAGGTGAAGAAACAATAATGTTGTGTATATTTTAGGTGGTTTGGTTGGATTCCGGTTGATTGATCGGTGGATAGCTATTATAATATTGGTTTTTGGTTTTCGGTCACGGCCATGCCACAAATCATAAATATCAATATAAATATAAATATTTATATGTGTATATAAACATTGCATAATGCTGGACGTGCTGCTTGCTCGAGATAGTAAATATTTCTTTTTTTGGTTTTTTTTTTGTAGGTAATGTATACAGATTATACCGAATATAGAACAAAACACTATTTAAGAGACAGACAATGGAAATTAGAGAGAAAGTAGAGAAAGAACGTGAGAATGAGAGAGAAAGTGAAGGAAGCATTCTGTGGTTTTTTATATTTTTTGGTTTTCGTGTTTTTGGTTTTTTTTTTTAATTGTTAACCTGGATAAAAACTGTAGTAGAACTCTTTCCAGTCGTCCAGCCAAACCTCGACCAGACGGGCATTATTGTGATTGACAATCTCCGTGGTGCCGCCGGGGAAGGTGTACGGCGTAGACTTGCGAAAGACGTGACCCACACGGGAGCAGGGCGCGATCTCGAGCACGCCGCCACACATCCAAACCTGGATTCAAGGCGGTTCATATTTTAGGGTTTTATGTTCGGGATAGTAGTTATTATAAAAAAAAAAAGTGTTACAAAAAGATATATACTATGTAAGTATGTTTTATATAGAAAGCAGTTGGTATAAGACTAAATAGAAGAAGGGGCAGCTTGTAGCGGAATCCTAGTAGCTCTAGAACCCTAGACAAGAAAGGATTTCAAGGGCAACAATAAGGAATAAAAATATAAGCTGCAAGTTCTGGTAAAACCCTACCCCTCAAGGCAACCGTTTAAAACAAATTAGAAAAAAACAAATATTAGTTACAACTTAGTGAAAAATAAACTTAAATATTATAAATTAATTACCAATTTAGCGAATACTTAACGCATAATTAATAAGCAACAAATGTTTTGCAAGTTATGTTTAGCTTAGGGTTTCAACTCGTCATTAAGGGGTTAAGAGGACACGATAATACCTATATAGGTTCAACAATTGATGATCGGACATGGAAGAGAGCATGAGCATGAGCATGAGAAGAATTCAAGAAACATTGAGAAGAATTTCGATTTAGGAAAATTATAAAATGGAAAAAACACTAAAAATTATGCCAGTGCGGTTATTTAAAAAAAAAAGAAGGAAAGTTGATGGGTTCTGCCATCGGCAGCTCTCGAAGTTTAGGGATAGCTAGTTATAGTTAATAGTTTAGCTATTGGATTAGTTTTATGCTCAAAAAACACATGTCAGCTTAATGTTGTTTGGGTGTGTTAGTGTTTTAGTTAAAAACCGAATCGGAATTCATTGTTTTTGTTGGTCTGTTAGCGAATTAAAGCCAATTACAAATATAGATAACGAGTAATTCTTAAAGTTAGAAGTTAGATGCACGCAATATAAAATCGACTAGTGGTTGGAATGTTGTTATTTGACTGTTTTTGGAATTGTTTTTTGGTGGTTGAGTTGTTGTTGAGTTGATGTTGTTTTGCGAACCTGTACTCATCGAATAATAGAAATCACGCCACTCGTCCAGCCATACCTCGGCCACTCGCGCCGCATTATGCAGCACTATCTTGGCCACGCCGCCCGGGAAGGTGTACGGCGACTTGTCACGGAACACGTGACCCACGTGGGAGCAGGGTATTATTTCTAAAATGCCTCCGCACTGCCATATCTGCGGGTTATCATTGATGGTTTGATTGGGTTTGTTGTAATGTTTTTAGTGTTTTTTTTTTTTTGGTGATTAAGAAACAAATTTTTCATTTTTTGTTTAAAAATTCGACTAAAAATAAGGTACTTAATAGAAATTAAATTTTAAGCAAATTCTGAATTTAATTCGCGGCTTGGCTTGCAGCTGAAGGAACGAAAAAAATTGAAACGAAAACGAGAAAGCAAGAAGAACTATGGAATATAATCGCTGGCATTGTCTTACACGGAAGGACATCTCGAGATTCTCGCCGCCCCAAATGTCCATGCCCTCGTCATAGGAACCGATCTCGTAGAAGTAGTCCTTGTCGATGGAGAACAGGCCGCCGGCCATGGTGGGAGTGCGCAAGGGTGCCGTTCTGTCATTGTTCCTGCGGGCCATTTCCCGGGACGGCACTCGGTACCTGGAGAAACACACGACTTTATAAATATTTCTAAATCTTTTAAAGATGTCTCTTTACCATCTGAAGTTGAGCTTCCAGTTAAAGCCACCCCAGGTGGAGTCTGATGCTGTGATGTACTCGAATGTCTCATCCGAGATCACATCAATTATGGGACAAACAACCGTGCGACGATTTTGGACGATTCGCGCCAAAAGCGGCTCCAGCCAGCCCTCGGTGCACTCGCAATGGGCATCCAGGAAGGTGATCACCTCGCCGCTAACATGCTCCGCTCCCAGCAGACGTGCCCGGATCAGGCCAGAGCGTTTCTCGGTGCGCAGCACAAAGGTTTTCACCGGCAGCTTGGCCACATACTCCTCCAGCTTTTTGCCCAGGAAGTCTGCCAAAGAAGCATTTTAATATTGGGCATCTTGGTGGCTTTAAGAGAGCCTAACTTACCCCTTTCACTGGCATCATCCACCAGGATAATCTCCTTGAGGAGAGCCCTTGGTGAACGGTTGATTACACTCCACACGGTTCGCAGGAGCGTCGTCCAGGCTTCGTTATGGAAAACTATCACAATTGAGGTGGTGGGCAGCTTCGAGGGATAGTGCTTGCGGCGGCAACTAAATGGGGTTTTTGGGATTAAATGGAAACCAGTTTTGTGAAAAAGTGAAGGTTGGTGTCTCACCCTTCATGCCGCACATCGGTCAGTGAGCGATTCAATGAGATCATGTCACTGGCCAGCAGATTAAACTGGTTCTCCTTGAACTTGTCCTTCATGATATCCTTCATGTCGGCTGGTATCTTTACCGGCTTGCCCATCTCGCCGGGCTTGCCCTTCGCCTCCTGGACGGTGGGCGCCAGGAACCATTTTTTCAGCACCATGCTGGGATAGGTCATGGATATGCCGCCGGGGGCAAAGCCCTGGCCCATAATGAGAGCACCGCCCGCATCGCCATCCAGGGATTTCTCCGTGTTGATTTCATTGTCGTCCACCAACTGGTTGTCATCCACCAGACGCTCAGCATCAGGAAGCTGGAAAGACATTGAGATTAGGGTTACTGATCTGATCTGAAGAGGATCTGTTCTGATCTTACCTCCACATCATACTCTCCGGATCGCTTGCAGCGCCATCCATCCTTGCCAATGCAGTCCGAGTAGCGGGCTATGAGGACGAAATCGAAGATGACCCAGACCAGCGAGGTGATCAGGACGATCCGGCAGGTGTTGGAGCGCATGCGTCCCCGCATTTTTCGGGTGAAACTGGTGAAGGTCATGGTCATGGATTGTGTGGTTTCTGTTAACTGTTTGTTGGGTTCCAAGTTCCGGTTCCGGTGATTATTTTGGCCGCTTAGTGGATTGTTTTGTTTTTTTTTGAAGGTGGAACTACTATTTTGATTTAGTTTAGGTTAGTCCTTTATCATGTTAGTCCTTTGTCCTTTATCTGGAGATATGTGGATGTGTGTGTGTGTGGGTGTTGCCTAATGTTAGTTATGTTTCTGTTGTTATTGTTGTTGCTAATCGTTCGTTATCAGACTTTTATCGCTCCCTCAAGCGTGAAATGTTATTCATGTTTTTTTTTTAGTTATTAACTAATTTTTTTAGTTGGCACATATGGGAGCTCTACTCGTCTCGCTCTCTCTACTGTCTGTCCTTTTTGCACTCTCTCTCATGCTAGCCTTGAGTTTCGACCTTGGTTACTTGTGGGGTTACTTCCTCAGTTGCATCCTCCAGTTGCAGGTTAGTGGCGGAAAACTCATTCCCGAGTCACCAGATCCCAGACCTTCTCTTGGGTTATTCAACTGAAAAGAAAATAAAAATCCACACAAAGTATGATTAATCGTATCGAGATAATGGATAGCGGTAACGGGGGCAAAAAAAATGAAAGTTATGATTTCATATTGCCACGACCGGTTATTACTATTATTCACCTACATATATAATCAAATAATGGTCTGTTTGCCGATAAATAGATGATTGTGCTTAATTTATTTTTGTTTTCGTTGCTTTTTGATTTGTTGGCTAATTTTGGGGCCAATTAATTTTGCAAAAAAAAACAAGGTAATTGATTAACGAGTGTGATACATTATATAGATAATTAATATCTTCTAAAAGTATTATCTCACTGTCTTTTATTACATTTTATCAGCCTATTTATCAAAGCTTATAAATCAAATAATAATATTGACATAATAGTTCAGATACAAGCTCTGGATACTTCTTGGTAATTGACGTTTGTTGACACGATGATATCATATCATATCATTGACGTGGGTAGTTATGATGTCTTTATATATCTTAAGGAAATAAGATAAGAAATGGTTTTTAAATTCAGAAAGAAATACTTCCATTTTACAAGAGAATATCTTTCCAACTAAGCTATAAATAGCATAAAGACTTAGGTCTTGAACCCTGCCATTACTCCAAGAATACCTGACTTCAGGATATCCATGTGCCTTTGAAAAAATATTCCCCTTTTTTTTTGTAATGAATAACATAGACAAACATTTAAGATGCAAATCGTAAACCCTGGAATGCCACACACATCTGCATCAATAAATCGAATCAAAGCTTAACTTTCAATACCCTTTTTCCGGCTTACAGCTTTTGTTTTTCCACCGAACTCCCACCGCAAAATCTCATGCGCTTGCACATCGAAAATGCCAAAGGCAAGCAGAAGAGTGAAGTGGCAGCGTTTTTTCTCGCTTTTGAAATGCCGTTTTGGCCAAAATTCCATTGACAAAGGTCATAGTCGCAGGCAGGCAGCCTTAGCTCCAGCGGCTAAAGCCAAAACGCCAAAACAAGCCAAGAGCTGTCAGTCGAGTGGGAGAGAGACAGCTGGCAAATAAGAAGAAAAAAGAGCAACAACTCTTAACGGTATTTTTACGGGGCTTTTCTTGGCTTAAATACTCTACCTATAGGGGCTATAGGGAATTTTAAGGAAATATATATCAAAAGGAAGGAAACATTTTATAAAAAGTGGGAAGTAAATTATAAAGAAGAGAAATAGTGGAAAATAAATGCAAATATTTTATTAAAAAAAAGAGAAAAAATATTTTATTAAAAATAGGGAAATAATATAATATGATATTTATAAAAAGAAATGTAACTACAACAAAAAGGCCAATATTTTATAAAAAAGGACAACAAGGACATATTTTATAAAAAAGGAACGATATTTTAAAAAGGGGAAATATTGAAAAAAAAAACTAAAATAGGAAAAATTTAATATGTGAAGATAATTTTTAAACAATTGTAACTCTAATATATATTTTTATTGAATTCTGAAAAGTAGCCAAAGCTATGTATAGTCTTTTTAAAGAATAGTTTTCTTTATGACAAATAGACATTAATATACAATATAGTATAATATGGTATACTATAGTATGGTATCGTATAGTATGGTATGTTTAGTAACATAATAGCACTGTTTAGTATAGATATCAAATATTAGATATTAGTATATCATAAGTCATTGATCTTTAAGTCTTTGATCTATAACCATACCATGATTAAACCAATCCATACTTTAATAAATCCTTAAACCTTTTAAAGACAATACCCCCTTAAACTACTCCTATTTTAAAACTCTTATTTAGGGTATCCAAAGTTTATGTTCCAGATGCTGCCTGTTGTTTTTTGCATCCCCCCTTTTTTGAGCACATAACGTGCATTTGAATCATTCATAAGGCATGCGACGTCAACGTCGTCGAGAGCCAAACTAGACAAGACTACGGGTCTGGGTCTGGGAGTCGGAGCAGCGGAGTTGGCTTCAAAAAAACCCGTTTCCCACCATCGTCGACATCACGCACACCAGCACTAGCAAGATTGGCAAGGCTGCCTGGGGGGCAAGGGTGGATGGGTGGCTGGGTGGCTGGAAGCACTCTGTTAAAATATGCAGTTGCATGTGCAAGACCCCAAAGAGGCCAGCCTCCAGTGGCGCTCGCTGGAGAGCCCTTTAAGCCACGCCAAGCCATCAATAATACATTTAATAACAAGGAAATGTCATCAAAATGAATTAAACTTTTTGAAAAATAATTAATTTTGCAAAAAAGAGTGACTCGAAAAGGGTAAAATGAATAAACATAATTGATAAAAAATGAAAGATAAACCTGATACTGTGAATGAATTTAAAAAAGTGATTAATAATTCAGGGTATATTTTGAGATCTGATCTGAAAAGTGACTCATTGCTTTTCAATATTTAATGAATGGAGAACCCTCTCCATTAGTTTCGGTAGATTACAAGCCTTATTTTAAAATAATATTTAATATTAGTTTAAGGTCTCTGTTTCACGGTTCTGGAGGTCCCATTCATTGGCATTCATACTCCACTCCTCTATAGACAATTCAATTACAATTATGTCAAATGAATACATTTACAATTCGTGTGTGTTCTGCTTGAAAAGCATAATTGGCGTCTGGTATTATGTTGAAATGCAATTATCCACACATTTATATATATATACAGAGTCAGATTGTGGGATCAGAGCAGCGGAATGGGTTTGAAAACGGGGCCAGGCCAAAGAGGAGCCCCCATGACGAAGATGATGGCAGTCACGCTTTGTAAACTGCTAATTGACAGGTAATCAGTTTACTTGCTGAAAACAGCAACGAAAGTAAACAGCACACACACACATTGTATACTATACAGATTTTCAAAACAATTACCTCAAGCGGAAAAATAAAAGTGAAATTCCCATAAGAATTAATACACTTGAGCTTAATCATTACTTATCAATTGATTCTCATTATTATCTGATGGCAATTCTTATTAAATTTATGATGGCACTTGATTATAATTCAATTCAAAGCAATTGAAACTATGAGAGGCTACTCCAGGGGGCAGGAATACAGTGAAGCCAAGCAAAGTAAAGAAAAAGCAAAGCAAAGTCTAGTTTTAAACATTGTATCTTTAAATTGTATCTAAAATTGTATCATATTGCTAATTACGATAGTTTTTATTAGGAAAACTACTAAAATATGAAGGAAAATGAATTAAAATAGTAAAGAAAGCAAAGCAAAGTTAAGGAAAAGAAATGCCTTAAAAAGTCTACCTAAAAGTCTAAAAAGTATGCCTAGTCTACCCTTAAAAATGGTACTTTTTGTATTATTATATCAATATTTTTTAAGTCTAGTTTTAAAAATTGTATCCTAAAATGGTATCTAAAAATGTATCTTATTTTAGTTTTTATTAGAAAGCAACTAAAATAGGAAGGAAAGCAAAGCAAAGCAATATCAATGCGTAGAAAAAGCAAAGCAAAGTAATGCATTTTTTAACTCATTTTATTTGGAAATGAAAAGCAAAGGGTACCCCTAAAAAAAAAGTATATTTTTGATTAAGTAATGCTAATATTTTAGTTTTTATAAGAAAAATTACTAAAATAGTAAGGAAACCAAAGCAAAGCAGAGCAAAAGCAAAGCATAGAAAAAGCAAAGCAAACGTCTACCTTTAAAAAATAATATATTTTGGTCATAGGCTATACTGTTTTGTAGTTTCTCCTAATTTCTCTAAAATTTAATCTCTTTTTTCAATTTACAAAGTATCACTGTTCATCTACACTGCCCCACAATAGTTAACTGCCAGACTCACAGGCACTGGCACTGCGACGACAGCAATTGATGATTTATGTATGACATTCGACTTCAATTGCCGGCTGGCGGCTTCTCTGAACTTGAGCACTGATTTCCCTCTCTATCGTTCAGCCTCTACCTTACTCTTTCTATCATTATAGCCATCTCTTAGTATTTTGTTGATAAGGATTGAGTTTGTTTCTCGGGATTCTTTAAGTTTAGCTTTTGCTTTGCTGCATTGCGTCGTCAGCTGCTTGTCTTATTTTAATTTTTTTTTCTAGGATATCCCTCTGAGGATTTTAATTAAAATAGAGCCCGCGCAGAGCGCAGAGCAGCGGGTAGTGGAATTCGCAGCACGTAACATCGAAAAACTGTCAAACTGCCATAAATTGAAATATTCCCGCCCCTGTACCTCATTTTCTGGCCCTTTTGGCTTCTAGTATCTTGGCCCGGGCCACAGAGCGGAAGCAAACAATTTTTTTTTCAAGAGCCAGAAAGGGCGGATAGGGCAGGGCGGCCCTAAAAAAGCTTTTCAAGCTCCGGGTGTTTATTGCTACTGATAAGGCGTGGGGGTTGGCTCAAAGGGGCGTGGCCGGACAGCCATCTGTGTACAGTAGTTGCTCGGTTATTTTCACAAAACTTTTGCTTCCAGGCTGGCTGCTTCTCTAATTTGGCCGAAAAACTTTTCACTTGTCGGGGTTTAAGCTTATAATCAAATTACAAGTTTTCCTTCAACATATTTTTAAAATTGTTATAAATATTTACTGGAGATGTTTGGGATTAGTAATATTCATTAAAAAGTTAAAGGCAGTAGGGATTGAAGGATACCCTTCTTACAACAAACGTTCTTATAAGAATATCGGCTATGAAAATAAAAAATTCATTAGAACCATAATTTACACCAAGAAAAGAACTCACCAAATGCTATCGGAAACAAAAAAAAATATTGAATATGCCCATATGGAATCGTTTTAGGAAATACTTTATATTATGAAACTACCAATCTTATGGATCTGACTCAGTACTTATATGGTACAACAGTTTATTTTTTAGAAAACCATTCTCCTGATAAGAAACTTAAGTTTCACAAGAAAGCAAGTTTCTAAGAATAAAAATATAGAACTACTTTAAGAATTTATATATATTTTTATATATTTATGGAGGCCACCTTATCGTCTTACAGATCTCAAAATTAAAACCCATGTCACACGACTCATAGCTTTTATTTT